TGTCAAATTGTCCTAACTCGACCGCCCATTTCACCATTCTTCCTGAAACATCAATCCTTCCCAGCACCGTCTTCATTGGGTGGTTAGTCCGGACCACTATGGTATGCGACAAGAAATAAGGTCGCAACTTTCTCGCTGTGGTTACTAGGGCTAGCCCGATTTTCTCGATTTCGGTGTACCGCTCCTCCGGCCCTCGTAACAACCTACTCGCATAATACACTGGATTCTGCTTTCCTTCTTCCTCCCGAATGAGTACCGAGCTCACTGAATATTCGCCCACAGAGAGGTATACATACAACTTATCTCCCGCTTTGGGTTTGGTTAACAATGGCAGCTGAGCGAGAAGCCCTTTCAGCTGGGTGAAAGCGACCTCCGATTGCTCCGTCCATCTGAATTCAGCGCCCTTTCTCAGTATTTTGAAGAAAGGGTAACTCGCCTCACCGGATCTAGATATGAATCTGCTTAAAGCTGTGATCCTTCCCGCAAGTGTTTGGACCTCCTTAATGCTCCTAGGTGCTTTCATGTTGATGACCGCCTGAACTTTTTCTGGATTCACCTCTACCCCTCTCTCGGTGACCATGTAACCGAGGAATTTGCCCGTCCGGACCCCGAAAGCACATTTAATTGGGTTGATCTTCATTCCATATTGCCATAAGGTGTGGAAAGTTTCTTCAAGATCCTCTAAATGTGTTCTAGCTTCCTTGCTCTTCACCAGCATATCATCCACATATATCTCCATGTTTCTTCCTAGCTGTGTTCGGAACATCCGATCCATCAATCGTTGGTAGGTTGCGCCCGCATTCTTCAGACCGAAGGGCATCACCGTATAACAATATGTGCCTGTTGATGTAATAAAGCTTACTTTGGCATGATCCTCTCGATCCAAAGGTATTTGGTGGTAACCTTGGGACGCGTCCATCATACTCAGCATTTCGCATCCTGCGGTTGAGTCTACGAGTTGGTCGATTCGGGGGAGGGGATAATAATCTTTAGGACATGCCTTGTTGAGATCTCGGAAGTCGATACACATTCTCCATTTGCCCGTTCCCTTCTTTACCAGCACTGCATTGGATAACCAGGTGGGAAATCGTATCTCCCGAATTTGACCTGCCAGCAACAACTTTTGCACTTCCTCATGGATTATTCTATCTTTTTCAGCTCCAAAATGCCTTCTTTTCTGTTTGACTGGCTTGGTGCCCGTTTCGACATTCAACTTATGAACAGCTAAGCGACTATCGATCCCCACCAAATCCTTTGGCGAGAATGCAAATACATCCAAATTGTTGCGCAAGAACTCTATTAATTGCTCCGCCATTGTGGGGTCCATATCTCTCCCGATTCTAGTTGTGCGGCTAGCGTCCTTCTCGCAGAGTTGCACAGTCATCAATTCCTCCATGGGTCGCACGTGACTGTCCTCCTTCTCGGGGTCGATTTTAGGACGAGGCTCATCCTTTTCCATCATGACAGCTCGCCCGCTATGAATGGTATCTATCCTCCCCGTTCGTCTTAGTGCATCGTAATAGCACCTTCTCGCGGTCTCTTGATCTCCTCGCACCTCACCGATCTGATCTCCCATGGGGAATTTTAACTTCATATGGTAAGTAGATACCACGGCTCGGAATAAGTTCATGGACGGTCGACCGAGTATCATGTTGTATGTAGAAGGGACATCCAATACTAGGAAATTTATTGACCTAGTAGCTCGCACAGGCTCCATACCCAATGATATGGGCAGGCAAACTTCTCCGAGAGCTTGAACCGTCTCACCCGAGAATCCCATTAAGCTAGTCTCCACATATTTCAGCTCGAAATTCATATTCATTTGCTTGAAGCAACTGTAGAAAATGACGTCCGCAGAACTCCCCGTGTCAACTAGTATCCGCGCAATATCGAAATTGGCCACCATGGCTGTGATTACCAAGGCGTCAGTGTGCGGCTGCTGTATCCCTTCTTCGTCTATCCTTCCGAACATGATGGGAGGGACTTGCGACACCCTTTGCACTTCCGCGAGCTGTGATTCCATTTCATATAATACTTGCAAGTTCGCACGACTTGCCAGGTCGGCAGCTTCGACCTCTCCGAAAAGCTCTTCAGTTTCCCTCAACTGTCTTAGATGGGCTCTCCGAGCCCTATTTGAATCACCCCCCGAAGGTCCTCCGTGTATCATGTGGATAAACCCTCCTGCTGCCGGTTGGTCCTTCCTCTCGCCAGTCTTATCTCGAACGTTCTCCGATTGGTTAGCCCCAGGCCGGGTACGCGGGGCCAGTGTGCTCGCGGGAGACTGCCCAGGTTTGACAAATTCGGGCAAATTTTTCGCCCGAATCAACCTCTCTATCTCGTCTCTAAGATGCTGACACTTGTTCGTCGTATGTCCATAATCATTATGAAAACGACAAAAACTTCCCGCGACCGGGTTCTTCTTGGGGACCTCAGAATAAGTACGAGGCCATTTCAACTTGGGATGATTCTCGATTGCCATCAAGATCTCGGCAGGAGGCGCCACCAACGAGACATAGTTCTCGAATCGAGGGCCCATTCTTCTTTCCACCAATCCTTCCTTTTTGACTGAAGGGACAAGTCTTTGTACTTTCTCTTCTCGTCTTTCCTTTCTTTTGTCCATTCCTTTGTCTACGGCCTTACCCTGCTCGGCTTCCTCAGCATTCATATATCGCTCCGCCTTTCTTAATAAATCATTAAATGAAAGAGGCGGCTTTTTGGATATGGAAGTAAAGAAATCTCCAAGTCGTAATCCTTGGGCTAAGGCATTGATCAGGACCTCCTCCGATGTTATAGGCACCTCCAAAGTGGCCGTTATGAAACGCTTAATGAAACTTCGCAGATGCTCTCCTTCTCGCTGCTTGACCGCGAAGAGGGTCAAAGTACTCCTCTTCTGTTTCTTGGAGCTCGCAAAATGATCGAGGAAAACAGAAGCGAGCTGATCAAAACTGCCTATTGAGGCGGGCCGGAGCTGGCTAAACCATGCTTGAGCGGGTCCCGCCAAAGTAGTAGTGAACACCCTGCATTTTACTCCTTCCGAAAAACGATGCAGGTCCGCAGTGTTGTTAAATCTGCATAGATGCTCGCTAGGATCGGTGGTTCCTAGATATTCGTACGTGACAGGTCGGAACGAACCGGGAAGTTCATCATTCAATATTTGTGTAGTGAACGGGCTCCTTTTGGTCTGCACATGCTCTCGCGACTCCTCCGGAGCGAACGCCGCGTTCAATGACTCTCGCTCCAGGACAAGCTCCTCACCAGCCTGGTCCGTATATTTCAAACGTCTTTTCGTGGGTGGCAAACCTTCTCGCTCTCTTCTCTCGCTTGGCGACCCCCCTTGAACTACGGCTGTGAGTAGAGCCTGGAGTGATTCCATGGTTATAGTTATCGTGGGCCTGGCGGTTGCAGGGTCCGGAGTGTGCAACACCTCTACCTGCCGGGCAGACGTACTTCCCAGGTAAGGTCCCTGTAAGTCAGGGTCAGGTGCTGGACTAATTTCAGCCTCCGTCGGATCGGGCTGACCAGCCCTTTCAACTGGGGTACCCATCTTTGGATTTATTTTGAATTTAGAAGAAAGTGATTTTGGAAGAAAGAATAGGATACTTTTTGAAAGGGCTTTTGGGCTATTTGTATTTAAATCTTTCCCACAGACGGCGCCATTTGATTCGTCCGAATATATTGGTGGATCTTTTAGACCCGTATATGTTGATGGATTTCTTGGATTCTGCAAATAAGAACACAAAAAAGGAAAACCGGGCTGAGGCCGGAGTTAGCACTCCGACGATCAAGTCAGTACGGCTTTGATTTAGGAAAAAAGAATAATTATATGTTTTCTTTATGCTTTTTAAATAAAGTAGTAGTGTCCTTTAAGGGAATTAATCTCTTGCTATTTATAGAGAACTTTTGAGAACGGATTTCAAATACGGACTCCAATTCCATTTTAACTGTCATTTCAGGGATGTTTCAGACTTTTCGAGATTATTAAATTAAACTTACCTGTCTTCTCGGTGAACAGTGTTATGAACAGTGTTGTGAGCTGCTTATTCCCCAGACTGCATATTCTCTGAACGCTTTTGACATTTGAGAGGGGATATTAAATGCAAGATAATTATGTCGGGCATCATATAGATCATTATCTTATAACTCTCGCCTATGTCCTCTCGCTACTGAGAGGGTCTTCCCTCTCGCGCCCACGGTCGACCTTTGATTAGGCTTCCTAGCTAGACCCAGAATATTTGATTTATCAAATCTAGTCTGTATATTCTCTGCGGTTCCTGACATTTGAGTAGACACGCATTAAATGTAAGTCGGCGATGTTACTCCCTTTTTCAGATAATATTCCTTGTTCCCATCCTTTCATTTCGGCGACCGCGAACTTCTTCCCCTCTCGCCCTGGAGTGGACTCTCGCGAGCTTCCCATTATTGGGCCTTTATTGGGCCTTCTTTCAATGGGCCGAAACAGTTACTTTCTACCGAATCACATTTCTTATAAAATTGTGAGTGAAAAAACAAAAATAAAAATCTATGAACACGAAGATTTTAGTATTTCCAACTCACTAATCATAAAACGATTTGTTAAGAAAATAAGCTAGATTCGACAAGTTTCACCGGCGACACAGAGTAAATGGATTAGCAAAAAAAAAAAACCCAACATTTGGGGATCGAAAGCTCGGAATAAGTTAGAGAGAGAAAGTACTCATGAATCCCCCGGAAGATGCCTGGCCAAGGTCGATTTTGGTGGCGAGTTCAGTTCAGTTGCGGTTTCCTTGGATTGGTTGTTACTTTGGTCAACTACTATTCAGGGCGGTCGGAGAAATGGGCCAAACTGTGGACTGTGGTCAATGAAGTGCGGCCCAATTAGTAATATACCCATGACGTGGCAACATAGGATGGAGAGATCGTGTCTCTCGTATATACTTACAATTTGCCGGTGCTAATCATTTTCATAGCGCGTCGGTCGTTATCACTCTTTAACCAAACCTTCTTTAAGTTCTTATTCATTAGCGCGCGCGTACCATACACTTGCCACAATCAGGAAATACTACGGTCGAATTCCCTTCTCTTCAGACTCATGAAACAAGACAAGCCCTAATCACAGTAACAAAAAACATGGATATGTCGAGCGATTTCGATCGCCTCCTCTTCTTCGAGCACGCTCGCAGAACCGCCGAAGCTACCCACGCCAAAAACCCTCTCGACGCCGATGTTCGTACCCACACACCATTATCGTTTTTTCTTCTTGTTGTTTTCGCCTTGTATTCATTTTTCTTTTAATTGATGCAGAATTTGACTAGATGGGGAGGTGTGTTGCTGGAATTGTCCCAATTTCAGAACGGTCCCGACTCCACTGCCATGGTTCAAGGTACAACTCCTCCTATCCTACTCTGCTATATCTTCTCTTCTACTTTATGCTGCTTTTGTTTGGTTTTTTCCTTATTTTTGATAAATTAAAATGTGCTGGAGTTATTTGTGATTTTTTTGGCCTGCTATTGGATTATGAACCCTAGTTATGATTCTAAAACTGTGTCAATTGTTGAATTGGGTTTCTCTATATTCTTTTGTAGATGCTATACAGAAGTTGGAGGAGGCTCTAGTTGTTAATCCTAGGAAACACGACGCACTCTGGTGTCTCGGGAATGCATACACATCTAGTGCATTTGTTATACCTGACCTTGATGTGGCTAAGGGTTACTTTGACAAGGCAACTCAATACTTTCAGCAAGCATATGAAATTGTATGTATATTCACTTAATAAGAACTTGGTGGTTTCTGCTTTCATTTCCTTGCTTAAGCCACTTGTGACATCGTTCGTTTGCCTTGCAGGAACCAGAAAATGAACTTTACAAGAAATCTCTAGAAGTGGCTTCCAAGGTAAATCATATGTTAGATCTCCTTTAAGATATAATCGGGTTTGATTTTGTGCTCCTTGGTTTTTTTTTTATGGCTAACCGAGTTTATGATTGTTATGATTATGGACCTTCACTTTTATCAATTTCATGTAGATACGTGAAGATTTTTTGCTACATACTTTTCAATATTGCGAGCAGTTGCATACACTTTTTTCTGTGTTCACTTGAGATTGCTTTTGGATTCTTGATGTGATTGTAGCATAACTATCTAGTTTTGGTTCAAATATTTTCCATTGCTTATGGATTTATGCATGCATGAATATCCTTATTTTTGGCTTTAAGGCTCCCGAGTTACATGTGGAGATCCACAAGCATGGTTTGGCCCAGCAGGCTATGGGATCGGGACCGGGACCGGGACCTTCAACATCTGCTAGTTCAAAGGTAAATTGTCTGCTCCCAGATGTATTTCTCTTGTACTTTTTTCGTACTTTCATGTGAGTTTTTTTTTAATGCTACTTCAATAGAATAAATAGATGAGGTTGTATTTGATAAGTGGAATCTCTAGGGTTCGATCTGTTCTTCAGTCGTGATGTTCTGATTTCTTTTGCTGATCAATACGATAGAGATTAATATGCCCTGTTAATAGTACCATTTTCTAACAGTCATGAAATCCCCTTCCCCTTGTCTCAACTTAAGAATGCGCGTTATACAGCAAAAGGTTGATTAGAAGAAGGTTGATCACAAGAAAGCTCGGTACTTACATAATGCACTACAGCACTAGCCAGTCCTTTCTTACCTAATTTAGACAATCTTTTTTTTCCTTATATCTATCGTGACCAAGAAGTGACCTATTCGAAAGGGTACATTAACATTTAGGAATCTCCGTCTTGTGAACATACCTAGTTGTATTTTCTGAGCCACTCTGAACAGTTTATTTTTTTATGTTTGTAGCAGTGTTATAATTGTTTTTCTAGAGGAGTTACACGGTTTATTTATGTTGATTTTACTTATTCATGCTCTCTTGAGTTATTATATTACGATTACCCTATGTTGTATCATCTATTCTGATGAAAGAATTATACATATTGGTCCTTTCAAAGCTGCTGCATCTCAGTTATAATATAATTATCCTGTCACTTATTGAGGAAAAGAGGCAATTAGACAGCCAATAAATTGCCTAATTGTTTTCATAATGCTATGGTTAGAATTAATGAAATTTCTTTTTCCATGCATTTAATTATTTAGTTGTTTTTCTTTTCTATCTTGGAAGCTCATGTGATTGGTATTTTGTTGCTTATGAAATATAATATTCGCAACCTTTTGTACAGCAGCAGAGTGCAAAGAAGAGCAAAAGCAGTGATCTGAAATATGACATATTTGGATGGATAATCCTAGCAGTTGGCATTGTTACATGGGTGGGATTTGCAAAATCGAATATGCCTCCACCTCCTCCTCCCAGATAAATTATGCCGTTTGCTTTACATGACTGTTGGCTGTAACTCCTCCCTGCCAAAGGAATTCACCTTTGATAGGTCAAGAAATTACGAGACGAGACCTTTTATATATGTACCAACAAAGAAGAAGGTTTTGTAATTGTTTGTTTTGTTTGAAGCTGCTTCGTTTTATAATCTAGATGATGTTATTGATTCTGTTTGACCTGGATATTTATGCTTCGTTGCCTTAATTTGGACATCGGGTTGTAAATTTGTAATAGATGCCTAGTTTTTCCATTTCATGACATTAATTTGTTGTTTCTATGTTACCAAATTGTGACATTAAACACTCGTTCAATTCATCCTATAGCTTAAAAGAATTTGTTTGTTAATAATTCAACAATATTTTCAAGCTTTAAACTATTTGCTATATGCATTAATACACATGAGTAGAGCAGAATAAGTGAACAAGTGCACATTGCATTGGATTAAATCATTGAAAGCAAGATAACAATTTTATGCATTTACAGAGACATTAAAAAATAAATAAAACAAAGAAGAAAACAGTAAAATAAACAGCAGAAGTCAGAAATCCTCATCCAACTTGAAGGTGTGGTTGTCACCATTACCATTCAAGCTAGACATGACAGAAGCCTTCTGATATTCTCCAACCCTCTTCTCAAAGAAGTTTGTTTTACCTTGCAAGCTAATCAGCTCCATCCAATCAAATGGATTCTGCACATTGTACATCTTCCCACATCCCAATGCATTCAGCAATCTATCTGCTACAAATTCAATGTACTGGCTCATCATTTCTCCGTTCATCCCCACCAACGCGCACGGCAGCGCGTCACACACAAACTCCCTTTCTATTTCCACCGCGTTCGCCACTATCCCCTTCACTTTCTCCTCGCTCAGCTTCATCTTCAACAGACTGTACAGCAGGCACGCGAAATCGCAGTGCAAACCCTCGTCGCGAGAAATTAACTCGTTCGAGAAAGTCAACCCCGGCATCAGCCCCCGCTTCTTCAGCCAGAAGATGGCGCAGAAGCTTCCGGAGAAGAATATTCCCTCCACGCAGGCGAAGGCGACAATTCGCTCTGCGAATGATTCGGAGCCGTCAATCCAGCGGAGCGCCCAATTGGCCTTCTTCTGGACGCAGGGGACAGTTTCGATTGCGCGGAAGAGGTGGTTCTTCTCCGACGAGTCCTTGATGTAAGCCTCGAGGAGGAGACTGTACATCTCGGAGTGGATGTTCTCGATGGCGATTTGGAAGCCGTAGAAGGCGCGGGCCTCTGAGATCTGGACGTCCTTCATGAAACGTCCGGCGAGATTCTCCAAAACGATGCCGTCGGAGGCGGCGAAGAAGGCGAGGACGTGTTTGATGAAATGCTGCTCGCCGGAGGAGAGGGTTACCCAGTGGCGGAGGTCGTCGGACAAATCGACTTCCTCGGCGGTCCAGAAGGAGGCTTGGGCTTTCTTGTACATCTCCCAGATTTCAGGATACTGAATCGGGAACATACAGAAGCGGTCGGGGTTGGCGGCGAGGATGGGTTCTTCTGGCATGGAGGGCATTTTGGGGAAGTTTGAAGGTTGTGATTGATTTGTCTAGGGTTTGGATTATTATTATTAATGAGGAAGAAGAAGAAAGGGACTGATGAATGATGAATTGATGATATTCATTGGGAAGAGTGAGTTTGTGGGTATAAATAAATAGAGTGAAATTTTTTTAGGGCGGGATTTTGAATGTTTTGGGGGAGATGACGTTTTATTTTTCTGGCGCCATTTTTTTTGTTTTTGTTTCTGATTCGAATTTAATTTTGAGATTCTTTCTGAATCAAAGTAGCGCGTGGAGAAGTAGACAAGTCACGTGGTTTGAGTTGGATGCCTCGCTCTTTGTCGCGGCTCCCCACACTACTTCTCTTTTGTTTTCCGAAATATGTATTGTACAGAGATTAAAAACAATTAAAGGTTGGAAAAACTTGTTAAAACTATGTCCTGTTGACTAGACTCTGACCTTATCAAAAGGAAAATTGGATATAATTTAAAAACCATTGTCTTGGAGTTTAATAGTGCATTCTATAGTCCTCAAATTGAGGCTTTATGCATTTCATAACAACTAATAGGCTATTAAATAGAGCTTAATCCCAAACCTGCATGCTGGAATTCCAGATATCTTAACATGAAAGAGTTTTAGTAATTTGAGGCATCTAACTATCAAGTTAAGACAAGTTTCATTTCATTCCACTGTTTACATCAAAATGCGAGCAAGCGGGAAAACATTAACAATAATTGGTACTAATTACCCTGCCAATTACAAAAGAACAAGCTTCACAGTATGGGTGGTGTAATCACATTTTTTGTTTTGGTTATGGAGGGTTAGTTTGGGGATTTTGGAAACTGAGTATGCACAATGAGTATGCCCCCAACAAAAAGAGTATCGAGTATTTGCATTAGAGTTTCAGTTATCTTCATCTTCCTCATCTTCTGCAACCATCCACGGCTGTCTAGGACCCTGACAATAAAAGAACAGTCTGATCAACAAACTTTTAACACATTCTTGAATCTGAATTACGAACATCATTGTACAGGAACCAATTATTATAAAATCTTTGATTTCAGAATTTGAACGAGTGATTGTATTGCCTTTCCTTTTACTTCTTTGATCAGAGCGTTAACAAGTCAGATTTTTACCTTTCCCTGGCGTATTACTCGAGGAGAAGTCCCAGTCATATCCACTACAGTAGATGGGTAAGCAATTCTAGTATCAGCAGCAACAACAAAATCAAGCCCCTGGGTCATTACCAAATACAAATCAACTCATAAGCTACACCATACACAAACCATAAACGCGTGCAGGGAATTTTTAGTGGTTCAATAGACGAGTACATAAATATATAGACATGAAGAGTTTTATGACAGTAGTTAAACATGTATGTCCTAAATCATTGAAAAGGGGCAAAAAAACCAAGATTTTTCATGGGCTTTTTTGTAAGGAAAAGATTACAAAGCAACAATTGCAATAGATTTGTAGAAAGGGGTTGAGCTAAGAGAATGCAGTACGTACCTCTGGTCCATATAAATCAGCTATTATGACCGGATCTAAGATCCATTCATTCTCCTTTGGTGACCTGACACTGAAGCACAAGATAACCATTTCCATAGATTAATAAATAGAAGAAATCTAACATGTAATTAATGTCATGGATTGAATCTAGCTTTGCAGCCCACCTTGTGGATATTAAAGGAGCTTCCATCTTCTCCATTATTGCCTTGCACACGGCATCATCTGGTATGCGAATCCCTACATTCTTTCTTGATGCGTATTTGGAAGTTGTAGTCCCATATCGGATACATTGTTTTGGCAGGTCTTTGCTTGCAGTCAAAATGAACGTATACTGTTACATAAAGTTTCGATTAGAAAAAGACAAAACCCCAATCAAACTTAGATACAACACATATCAATGAATCGCATTCAAGATTCAAAGCATTTTGAAGATTGAAGATTGTTTTTCAGTACCAGAAAATAATATTATTAGTGATACTTACAGGACCAGGCAGGCAATGTTTAACAGCTCGAAAAATGTTAGTAAGACCTTCGCCATTGCCACGAGGAAACCCGGTAGTGTATGTATCGATGTCTTTGAAGGAGCGACATATTATACTCAGCGGCTGCAAAAGTTACAAAGACATCAGCAATACATACATATGCACTTGCTTGAAAACCAAACGGCAAATCGGATACTTAAATAGGTAACTTGTGAACGCCATGGAGATATAAAATCTGAAAGTCAGAGTGAATTCCAACTTGCCTTTGAAGGTTCGATATGCTTTATCCTGGAAACAAAACATAAAAACTTAAAGTCACCAAAATAATTGAAGGACTTAAAAGGATATAAAATCACAGGCATAAACTTGAAAGCTGGTTTTAAGAGAAGTCAAGATTACATACCTACGCAACCGTTCAATGGCGGCGTTGTTTCTCAGATCACAAGCTATTGCATACCTATTACCAAAGAAAAATACATAAGCTAATCATGAGATTCTAGCCCCTTTCCCTTTTCAGGTTTCGTTCTGCTCAAAACCTGAGCTCTCTACACAATGCAAAGATATAAATTCAACGACCAATAGGAATTGATACCTCAATCTGGTTCTACCAATTTTACCTCAAAAAGGAAATAATATTCTATTAATATAAACACCTCAGATGTTGGATTAATTTCTCCAATTTCAACGATGTCCGGTCAATCAGATACGTATTACTTATACCAGATGTATATTCTATTAATATACCAATTCATAGCCCCCGAAGGTAAGGCTCAAGTATTGAATCCTCTGTTTATTTCTAAGATCACGACAATACACGTCTAGCCACTCTGTACTAACTCCGATCCTATGTAATTTGATTTCAGAGTGATTCTCCCAGAAAAAAACTGAAGCACATGCTATTATTAGTTATAGTCTCACTTAAAAATACAAGTGAAAAGGTTGTCATCCAAAGTAAAGGAAGAACCCTAACAGGTTTAAGGTAAGAGCATTTATTCTGATAACGAAGAAGGCCAGATGCCTTACCACATAATTTCCGGCCAGCTCTACAATTTTCTATGTACATGTAAAAAAATTTAAACACCCGAACCAAGGCCATAAAATTGAACTGAGCAAAAAAGAAGAGAAAAAATTAAATAAAAAAATCTAACATACACAGTATCAGTAGGAATAACACCAACAGCTCCCTCTTTCAGGAGTTCAATGATCGGGTCCAGTTTCCAGGAGTCCGACCCAGCCGGATCAACTTCAACGTACAATAATCCATCCTCCTAAAACAGGAAAAATAAAGCAGTCAAAACAAAAACAGCAAAACTTATTAAATATTTTCAAGCGAATCAGACCTTCGTAAAACGAGGGGTTGAGTATTTTAGACGTTTGGGGCTCCTCTTGATAACTGCGAGCGCAATGAAGCGACGAGAAATCGTTGAAGGAAACTGAAAGGACACGTGGCGAGGGCACGGGTTCAGCGATCGTCGGAACGACAGCGGTGCTGCGGCAGTTCCAGAGACACGTTTCACCTCCACCGCCATTTTTTTCAATCGGAAGCTGTGGAGAGGAGAGGAGAGAGGGGTGAGGTGAGAGAATGGGGGGGGGCAGTTTCTGGATATTTTAGTAAAATCTTTTCGCTTTTTTGAATTTTATTTTGCAATAAAAAATTAAACTAAAATAGTTTTTTGTCTTTTAGTGCATTGGTTTATCTTTCAATTTTCATTTCCCGCAGCTTCTCTTTTCCATTAATAAATATTAGTATTTCAGTCTAAATTTTATTTGCTTTTGTTAATCATTAAATCCCTAATTCTTGAGAAATCAGTCCACCAAATTTTCCAGGTAAATGAGCTTAAGACTGAAAGGGCAGTTAAGGAAACAAATATATTCTACAGTTGCAGTTGATCTATCCCAATTACATTCGACAAAACACCAACTGATGATGATATTCTATGGTATTCAAACTAAACGTGGGGAATTTACTAATAAGCCCCCACTAATAACGTTCCAAGTTACCCATGAAATAGTACAAGTTCTCAAGCAAAATTGAAAAGATATGCATCTACAAAAACACTTTCAGACACTTCAATTTTGAGCTTTAAAAAATGTCCACTATCTGTTATTTTGGTCAACTGAAGTGCCTGGATTTCTCTCTTTCTGAACAGCCCGAGGGACAAAAGCAAGACCACGAGTGTGGCGGCGCCCGAAACTGATAGCTGAAGGAGAATCTGAAGTACTTAGTCTCGAAACTGATGAAACAAGATTGTCCATTTCTTCTTCATCCACTTGCATTGCACTTGTTGAGCTTTCCTCTGTGTCTGTGTGCATTGCTTTTTTCTGCTGGACTTTGTGCCTCTGCTTTTTTGATAGTTTAGCTTTCTTGAAGAACTCGAAAGAAACTGGGAATTTATGCTTGTCGATCAGATGTTGTTGCCTGCTCTTATAGTTCTTCAGCTTCGCATCACAGCCTTCGACAAGGCATTCATACTACAATACATAAATTCGTTATTCAAATATATATTCCAGGATGGCATACAAGTAGCTGCGCTGAAAAATAGAAGAACAAGTACGTACAATTGAAGTCAAAAATTTACCATATCAAATCCACGGGCAACTTTTGCCTTGAAGAAAGAATCATGAGCTTCGGATACATGTATACTGAGTAAGCGTGATGTTGGATATACTCGTGTGCAGACGGAACAAGATGCCATGTGCCGTGCTTTGTAGTGATCTTCAAAGTCGTCCAAAGATTTCAGACGTGCTCCACAGCCAACAATTGGGCAATACACTTCACTGATTGAAAACAATTTTGTTTGGATGTAGAACAGATTAGATGACGAATCTGTGTATAATATATAAAGAAAAGAGAAAAAAAGGCCATGGGCATTTCAGCAATGAACTACAGATGCATGAAGAATAGACCGAAGGTCATTCTGCAGATCTTGTTATTCAAACTTTTGATTTTAATATTATGTGCCAAAAACAAATTATGAAATTGAAAAGAAGTCAAAAAATTGCCTAGCATTGAATGTATCCATACTGAATATTTCGCTTAAAGAATGCAAAAAGGCTTAAACAACATCCAGCTTACATACTGCTGCTTCTCCCACAGAAAACAAAATCATGCCGTCCCTATCGGTATCCACACACCATCCTCTAAAACATAATATCGACAGATTTTACGAAATGGTAAAAAGTCCTACGTACTAAATCATTAAGAAGATGTTTGATACCTGCTTCCCCAATCTTCCACGTCTCGCATCAGCTGCTTTTCTTCTTGAGTTAAGTCCACAGCAACCTATATCATATAGAGTAAGTGGTTTTTTCTTGGAAATATGATATAAATAAAAGAAGAACAAAGGGAAGGAAGTTGGCATCATTGGGTGAATGCCATTGAATTAAACATGATATGAAGATGCCATCGAAGGAAAACACAATATAAAAGTCATTCTCAACAAACTTTCACGAGAAGACATAACAGACATAGGGATGGCAACACAATTTCTAATCTTAGTTCACTCCAAGACTTGGATCTGCATAAGGCTGTCAATACTGTCATATTTTATTTTTAACTTTCAAAGGTCGTTAATTAAAAGCCGTAAGCAAAACAAAACCAACTTTACAAACATTATTACTTCCCTTGGTCCAGTACTGATTGATTACTCTTGAAAATACATAACATATACATCTTATTGTTTCCACAAACTAAGGTGTTGAATACAACTGTGTGTTGAGTTTTCATTCTACATTTCATTGTAACAAATCAACCATGTCTGGTTAATAATTCAAACAGACGGTTTAGAAGAAGCAAATGATTTAGATATTTATACCTATACTAGAAGTTCTCAAGTAATAACAGAATAGAGTATAAATCATTATTTTCTTAATTCCTCGTATTTTCAACTCCCTTATACTCTCCCGATTAATTTCAATCTATGTCTTCCCAAAATTGATCAACTATGTGTAGTTAATCTCTAATTCTGAAAATACAAAATTATGTTGCTGTTCCAGAAATTAGCAGGCAGCAGCAGAAGAAGAATAGTACTCAGCTGAAATATGTATGATGAATCAGTCTCAACTAAATCAAACGCCAGTCTAATGAAACAAAGTGCATCCGAATTTGAAAAGAAGATATGTAAAAAGTCACACTCAACTAAATCAGTGACAGGCTCACCCCACTCCAATCGCATCCCAAAAGCTAAGACAATCACGAAAACTAGAAATATGAATCTAATCATACATTATACATACTGTGTTGTTGCGAGTAAAGGAGAGAGTTATACATACATACCTGTTTGGCGAGGAGTTCTCTTTCTATGTTACCAGCCGCGAAGAAGGGGGCTTCCGGAAGGAAACGTCGTCGTACCGGCTTCCAGCACGGAAATTTCACCTCTGCTCCGCTCTCTTCTACCACCATAGCCATTTCTTCAGTTTTCTGGAATTTCAAAAATGTTTGAGCTCAGATTGATTACTGATTAGTGATTCCTCCTCTTCACTGTGAGTTCATGAGAATTTCAATATACTAGGAATTTATGGGCCGAGTATCTCCCAAACAAACATTTGGGCCAGTTGGGTTTGGGCTTGCAATATTGAATTGAATGTATTTCTATATCTATAGTAAACAATTGGGTAACTTACACCCACGCCCCTGAGGTATACTTAAATAATTTTAAGGTTCCTATGGTATCGATAATTACACTCACCCCCTGAAATGTAGTTAGAAACTCTAACGGAATAATGCATTGGATACATTATTCCGATAGGGTTCTAATGTACTATTCCTTTTAGCTAGTGGTGGAGATAACATAGAGTTACGGGGAGTTATGGTGTGACATGGCTCCCCCAATATTTCTTAAATCACTCATAACTATTTGTTGTATCCACCACTTCCTGAAACCAATAGTGCGTTAGAATTCTATCGTTATAACGTACCCAATTCATTATGCCATTAGAGATTATAACTACGTTTCAAGGGGGTAAGTGTAATTATCTATACTACATAGACCTTAAAGTTATTTAAGCATACCTCAGGGGTGTGGGTGTAATTTACCCTAAACAATTATATAACCTTAACGAAAAAAAAAAAACCGAAATTTTAATTAATTTAATTTTACATATAAATGGAAAATGTTAAATTCATTCACAATCCATGGAAAAAACTACTTGCATGGTTTGATATGTAGCCACTTTCATGTGTATATGATTTTTTGTATGCTAAAAATATTATACACCTCCGAATTATATATACAATAATATGCTACTTAATATATTCCATTCGATATAGCATCTACAAGATCGAATTTATAAAAAGTTGTATGTATATTGCATGCATAGTATAGGGATACATATATAGTAATCTGATAAGTACTCCAATAAACAAAATGATGAAGGAGTACGTGGATTCAGGCGCATGCGAACTATTTGGTTTCCAACTAGTTAAAAAAAATTGCTTTAAATTGGGTATAAATTAGAGAACTATTTGCCAGCTTTGCGTGCCTAATCCTTAAATTAATAATAGTCAAACAATAAAAATATATGTATTATTGATTTGTAAATCTCATTATTTATATACAAGTTTCCTTAAAAATACAGATTAACACTTTAATCCTAAATTATTAATGCACAAGGTTGACACTGTTAGCTGGAAAAAAAGGTGGCGTATTAGCATGAATAATAGACAAATTCTTGTTTCCTTTACATGTGGGAATTGGAAAACGCAGAATATGATTTGTTACAATGTCATTTTCGCTATTAGTCAAATTAAAACAATTTGGGAAATCTAGAAAAGGTATTAATACACTCTACTACTACTAACCTCACCTTACCTAGTTGTTGTATATATATATAAATTATTCGAAAGGAGAGAGTAATTAACAAGTAAATTAGTTTATTGTTTCAAGACTTTGATAAATGAGCTAGCTTAGCTACATTAATGAGAATTTATCAAATTATTGATTGAGTCACTGAAGCTTCTTCTAATTATATTATATACAAATCTGGTGGGCGGTGGCTTACCATATCTCAGATAGCGAGAGAAGAAATATTCAAAGATGGATTATTAAACCTTAAATATAATATGACAAAGTTTTTTAAGTAAAAAATAATTCTTAATTTCCCCTTGGATAATTGTAGTAACATTTGTTATGCTACGTTTCATTGGTGGAGAATTATTGATACAATAATTTCTGTAAAGCCTCCAGCATTAGACCAAGTATACAGCTTACTTTATGTTAGCAAATTAATGTTTTTTTTTTCTTTTATAGAGTCATCACATCATTACATCATCGTATAGCTAATATTGTATAACTGTTGTATTCAAGTATATATTACACCAAGTTTGGACAATCATCAATTCTCACACACACAAAAACAGAGGGAAGGATGGAGAAAAACTGTAAGAGTACTTTGTGGGTGTTGACAATTTTGATACTTGTGAGGAGCGGACAAGGCCAGTTGCTGCTGAATTTTTACGGTCCAAGATGTCCGAATGTGGAGGGTATTGTTCGTCAGGCTGTGTTAACAAAGATAAACCAGACTTTCGTTACCATTCCTGCCACTGTTCGCCTCTTTTTCCACGACTGCTTTGTTGATGTATTTTCATCTCGATCTTTTCAACTAATTTACATAAACTACTAACAAGTTTTTCAACAACTTTACCAAAACTATGCAATATATTGTAGGGGTGTGATGCATCTGTTCTAATAGCGTCACCGAATAACGACGCGGAAAAAGATTCCCCGGACAATCTATCCCTAGCAGGAGATGGATTCGACACTGTTGTAAAGGCAAAACAAGCAGTAGAAGCTCAATGCCCTGGGATTGTATCATGTGCTGACATTTTAGCTCTTGCTGCCAGAGATGTTGTCCTCCTGGTAATAACAACAATATAATGAATTTATTATTTTTCCGAAAATCACACACTCATTTATATATTATTTTGTAAATGGATTCTATTCAGGCAGGGGGTCCCGCATACAACGTAGAACTGGGGAGGCGTGACGGTCTCGTTTCTCAAGCTTCTCGGGTGGCAGGAAATTTGCCGGATCCTCATTTCAATCTTGGCCAGCTCAACACAATGTTTGCGACCCATGGTCTGTCACAAACCGATATGATTGCACTGTCAGGTTGCCACACGCTCGGGTTTTCACACTGCAACCGTTTTGCGGACCGGATATATTCCAACCCGATCGACCCGACCCTGGATCCGAATTACGCACAGCTGCTGATGCAGATGTGCCCGCGTGATGTCGACCCGAGGATCGCCATTGATATGGATCCAGTGACTCCACGAACATTCGACAATGTCTACTATCAGAATCTGGTTGGTGGGAAAGGCTTGTTTACTTCTGATCAGGTGCTGTTCACCGATCCAGCTTCTCAGCCTACTGTCCTGGGTTTTGCTCAAAACCCGGGTGATTTTAACGGGGCGTTTATTACAGCTATGACTAAGCTTGGAAGAGTTGGTGTCAAAACAGGTGACCAGGGAGAAATTAGGAGGGATTGCTCTGCCTTCAACTCATGATGTTTTAATAGTAATAAAGGAATTTCCAAACAATAATGTTTTTTTTTTTTTTTTTTTTTTTTGCTTTTTAAAGACTTCTACACATAGTGAAAATCTGCAGTAACATGTAATAAATGTGAGGGAGTAAATGTTTTACTACTACAGCATATCCAAATTTACAGTCTTGAATTTTTCTGAACTAATGAATAATGTGAAACAACAAATTACAACACAGAAGAACAAAAACAATTCTCATTCAGAACATGTTTTGTTCTTTGGGATTAAAATTTTACCAAAGAATATGTAATAATAATATACAGACAGATACAACATCAAGCAGAATATCTGAATGGCCACCAAAAAAAGAAAAAAAAAAAAGAGAGAGAGATACATATCCCGCTATAGTGATCACCGACCCGCATTGCTTGTCAAAATTTACCTGCGAGATCTTCCATAAAGGTGAGCATAGACAGGCTTAGTCCGATAAACAAGAATCATGCTTAAAACAACAGCAATGATGCAAAGTCCAGACATGATCATCGAAGTCAAGAAGAAGCAAATTGCACCATCACACTTTAGAGGGTCATCTGCTATAAGGAATCTTGAAAATGAGGATATTCCGTTTCGATCCCCAAGGCGCCCATGTGCTTGTTTTTCAGCCTCTCGATCGTATATGCTGCTGGCAATGAGGCCCGAGAATATTAATGAACCAGCAGGGTTTGCTAATGTCAGAAAATTGTATAAAGCCCCGAACTTTTTCAGCCCAAAAAGCTCCGAAGCAGCAGCAGGTACAATTGCCCAGTGAGACCCGTAACCGAGCCCTACGAGAAGAGTTCCCAAGTACATTGCACCTGGCCATCCCATAGCAAAGAAGAAATGTCCAAAAGCCATTATAATTTGTGCACCAGCCATTGCTACTGGTCTTGGATATGCGTAATCCCTGTTTGATTAATAAAATTCAGATTTAATATGTTCCTAATTATTGAAGCATATAATAACATAGAGCTGAATTCAAATAAAGAATCAATAATACCTGACGATTTTCTCGGAGAAATAACCACCACCTACACGGCCTAGAAAGTTCCAAATGCTAATCATGGAAACAAATACGTGTGTATTATCGTACCCCAAAGACTGGCTCATTTGACCTAAATTATCGATCACGGTTAAACCAGAACCCGAGCCTAATAGGAGAGAGACAAATATAAGCCAAAAATCGGCTTTTATTAATGCCTCAGTCAAAGTGAAGTCTTCGCCTCTGTGTGGCCTTCTTTTGGTGATTCTGACAGCTCCCTCAGCAGCTGCCTGTGCTAATCTCGACTGAAGTTGTGCCATTCTCTTTTGCCTCTCCAAAGCTGGAAGCATATCCACTCCATGTGGCTTTTCGTCTTCCATTTCACTGAATATAATATCTTCTTCTTCGGATTTGGCGGGCCCTTTCGGCGAATCTTGTAGAAGTGGTTCTTCCACTAATGCCCTTGGATCCCGTGAAAAGCACAGTGTGATAGGTATGACAATGGGAACCAACAAAATGATGAATAAAACCGCGGTGAGGATTCTGATAACGGTTTCGTTCAAATCGAATAGATCTTCAACGAGCATGACTCCCATCAAATAAGAAGCCAAAACGAGGCATACGGAGTATACAATCGAGAAGCTGAAACCGTCGGATTGGCGTAGCTGCCTGTGACCACCGACGGGCCTGACGATGAACATGAGAGCAATGACGACCATTGTGGGCCCCACAGCGACCATGAATATTAAGGAGGCGTGGTCTGGAGAATACATGACAGCGTATATTTGGGTCAAAATGGCACCGCCCAAACCAGCAAAGCCCTTTAGTATTCCCACAACGGGACCTCGGCTTTTGGGGAAGTTTTGGACACAGGAAACGAGGGATGCTGTGTTGAAGTACGTCTCGCCGTTTGTTCCTATGAAGATAAGTATGCACATCTGCCAGTAAAATCGATAATCATGTTTTGTTTTTTGTACAAGGCTTCAAATATCGTATTACACATTGTTATTGCAGATTGAATGAAACATCTGACCTTTGATGAGAACAATGGCAAAATCTAAAAATCAAATGTCTGAAATCTTCTACAATCCTAAAGATGTGATCTTTAAGGTAAATTCAGCTGATCATATTCATCACATATAGAAAAATAAAAATAAAAATTCCCAGATCAATAATCACCAATTAATCAGCAATCCCTGAATAATAATAATATGCATATCTCTGGATACATCATATACATTGACCAAAAGTAGTTGCAGACCAATGAATAAAAAGAAAGAAAGAAAGAAAGAAAGAAAGAAAGAAAGAAAGAAAGAAAGAAAGAAACTCACAGCCCATAATGGCAAAACAGGGGCTCTAGAGGTGACGACAAGCCAAACCCAACCATAACCAACAAAATTCTGAATAGCTCCGATAAGAAGAGCTGCCCACAATGGCAGAATCTCCGATAAACTCCCCGCCAGGAATCCCACGCTGTCTCCCAAATCTTTGGCCACACCTAACCGAGCAATCTGCCTTTGATTGTAATTTAAAGAGGTCTTTATGATCGGTGAAATGCTGCCGAACAAATATCCAATCCCTGCACAAGATTGTATCCACATTGCAGCCACAAATACAAGCCATCTGTTATTCAAAAACGATGAAAGCCTGTCGCCCAGACCACCCATTTTTCAATCTTCAACTTCTTTTCTTTTCGATGTTTTCTAAGATGGTTTTTTAATTTTTTTTTTCCTGGAAATAGGATGTGGGATTTGGTTATTTCCTTCTGGGACAAAAAACCAAAAAAAAAAAAAAAAAAAAAAAAAAAAAGGAAGGAAAGTTTGGATTTGATTTGAATATTGATTAGATACATGTATTTGTTGAGACAATGATGATGATGATGATGTAATATGGTGAGGCAACGATGGCCGATGGCCATGGTACAGTTATTCCTTTCTGGCATCCTTATTTATATTTATTTATTTATTTAATTAAGGTAATCAATCATACTACACGTTACTACTGACTTTTTTTGTGTTACACAAAGCAACCTCACTTTTCAAATTTCATTTGACACACTATTATTATTATAATTAACATCTAATAAGGGTTCACAATTTTAAAAAAATAATTTTTTTATGAGATCCTTGTCCGTATGATATTGACTTGACAAATTAATTTGTTATATTCAAACCAAATACGACTTGGAAAATGGACCCAAATAGATTAACTTGGGCCATGGCCCAACTAATGCTGATCATCCAAATTACAGAAGAAAATTAATTCAAATATTTATTTTGATTAAATAAAAAGAATAATCGATTTACGGATTGATGAAGCCACTCTGACGTGTGCTACTAACAGAGGAGAAAGAAAGAGGCGCCGCCGCTGCTGCTGCTAAACCAAATCCCCAAACCTCTGAAAATGGATCCTGACGCCGTGGCCAAGGCTTTTGTGGAGCATTACTACTCAACCTTCGATGCTAATCGGGCCGGGCTCGCCACCTTGTATCAAGATGGATCTATGTTGACTTTCGAGGGCCAAAAAATCATGGGATCCCAAAACATCGTCGCCAAGCTCACCGGCCTTCCCTTTCAGCAGTGTCAGCATCAAATCTCCACCGTTGACTGCCAGCCATCTGGCCCCGCTGGCGGTATGCTCGTTTTCGTCTCCGGTAATCTCCAGCTCGCCGGTGAACAGCATGCGCTTAAGTTCAGTCAGGTAACACCATTTCTCTACGTTTTTGTATATTATTTTGCATAGACCACTCACACAGAGATGTATATAATCATCAAACTGTCTGCGATTTGTTCAATTACTTTCGTTATGTTCCTTGATTTGATCTAGGGTTTCATTGGTTGTCTTCCTTTGGTTTCTGTTGATTCATACTATATTGGTTGAAACGTACGGTGGGATGTAGTGGAACTAACTAGTAGATGGTGATGCAAGGCTACTGCTATTATTAATTGATTGCATAAATAATACCTTGCTTGAATTAAGTCTTCAGTTATTTTTTAATAATTTATGAAGACTCAGTTTCCGAGTATATATGATTTATCTCATCGCTGAAAACCCTATTTGCTGATTTGGTTGTCGAGCATATGCTGTGTATTGTTGGCAATGGAATTGTGGAGTCAAATCGTTGTTAATGATGAGTTATACTGCAGCGAGCAAGATGCTTTGTCTTAATTAGTTGACCTGATATCTAAATACACAGATTCATTCCCCAATCATGTTAATGCCCTTTTCATTCAGTTGAATAATCTCAATCTGCTGCTATAAGAATTGGATTAGACCAGAAGTTGCATATTTGCTCACTTAATTTAGATCTGCTTTTAGGGGATCTAAATATTTGATGCTGTATGTTTACTGTTACAGTTTTCTTGTTTACTATGCAAATACTGTTCAATGCTCCAATTGGTAGTTGTATATCTAAATTTTTTTCTCGTCATTTGCGTAACTGAAATTGATTCCAATGTTTTGTGTTCATGATTAATGTTTTAAATAATTATCATATGGCATATTTTTGGTGAACAGATGTTCCAGTTGATGCCAACAGCACAAGGAAGCCTCTTTGTGTTAAATGACATTTTCCGCTTGAATTATGCTTGATTGACATTGTCGAGGATTCGAACTTGACCAGGGATTTGATGAACTGCTCCTCCTCAGCATAGAGGAGGTCCTTTATTCTTTAGTGTTAAAAAAAGTATTGAGATTCATGATCTGCTTATTGGTTTGTTGGTTATTTTTTGGAGATTTTAGACTGTTTACAAAAAATTGGAATCAGATGAACTTGATTGCGTCGACTATCTAAAGATTTGTGTTGAATCTAGTGAAACGGAAATTGAGATGTACCATCCACTTTCCATTTTATTGCTGTGTAGACATTCTTAAATAGTTTATCATGTCACTGTGATATTGGATCTCTTGCAGTTGAAGCTCGATTTATGTTTTTCCAGCTAATAAGTGATTCTCGAACTAGGAGCAAGTTATCAGTTATTAAGGGCGTGGTTTGAGTATTTGAATTGTCATGAAAACGCATGAAGATGTCCACAGTTTTCTGCTCTTCATTTCTTAAGAATGCATATGCCCTGTTTGGTACTATCACTCCTTCCTATCTAATCCAGTGTACAGCTTTTTCTGTGAAATATTATCACTAAAGCATGAAATTTGTAGCTCATTTTCTTATCAGCTACGAATAGAAATTAATACAAACTCCACTAGTTGATGTGGGAGGGATATGGTAAAGAAGTTGATGCTGGATTTTGGTCGAAGCAAATTTACAGGAAAGTGCTATGTGAATCCTGACATTGAATTTGCACTGTCCGTCCATACGGATATGTCTCTCGGGTTGTCAATAATGGGAAGTTAGATGCTACACGTTGTGGTTTGTAAGCATTGATAGCGTTAAATAACCATTCACTAAAAACACATATACATTGGTTTTTGTCAATTATGTGCAGATAAAGGTTACAAACATCAAATCCCTCGTAATAGTAGGAACAAATTGATTGGTAAGATAAGTATTAATTAAAAAGTTGCATTTATTTGAAATTTAACTAGTTTAATAAGTAATTAATAGGCCGAATATAAGTGGGCATTGTTGAACCCATAATCCAACTAGATAATTGTGTACATAATCATGTTAATAGTAAGCCCAAGTTTGTTAGTGGGCCGGTATTACCATCTGTCGTCACTCTACCTAAATTCATTAAAAAAAAACAGGGAAAAAAAGGGAAAGGAGCAGAAGAAGCAGAGATGTCGGATTGGGGACCGGTGTTTGTGGCGGTGGTTCTGTTCGTGGTGTTGACGCCGGGCCTGCTGTTTAAGATTCCATTGAGTTCGGAAGCTTCCAGACTGGTGCAGCTCCCATCGTGGTTCACTCCATTCTTTACTTTGCTCTAATCTCTATTTTCTTGCTCGCTGTTGGTGTACACGTGTACATCGGCTAATTACTAATTAGTAATTACCACTCTCTCTCTCTCTCTCTCTGTGTGTTCAAATTGCAGCGGATCTTTTGCTTCTAGTGTTTTTTTTTTTTGAATTTGGATTTTTAGTGTTGAATTGAGTTATGCTTAAATAATGGTGTTGGTTCTTGGGCATATGAAACGTTAATTACCATATGTGCTTCTGAGTTTCATTTAGCTGGGATACTTAACCTCGTGGTTTGTTGTTTGTGCTGTTGCTGCTGCCATTGATGGACTCATCCGTAAATTAAAAAAGAAAAAAAGAACACCTTATTTCAATTATCAGTTATAAGTTTTGTTGTCAAAGTGAAAGATGACAGATATTGTGTTTTGAGGGCTAGGAAAATAAAGAAGAAAAGACCACATACATGAGTAATAACATAAAAGATGACATAAATTACAGAAGTTAAAATTAGAGAGAGGGGTAATATATTATTAATTAAGCATAGAGATGAATGTTAAGAATGAGGAGGAAGAGAATAAGAAGAAGACCGTAGAGAAGAGTGTGTATGAAAATGGAGACAAAACTTGTTTTCATGTTGAGAAAATCGAGGGGCCTATGCTTTCCAGGAAGTTGAATCAGCAAACCAGGCGAGAGAAATGCAAATAGTGCTGTACCTATCATTACTGCTGCATAATCCTTCATTCTTCTATTCTCTCTATCTCTCTATTTCACCTTCTTCTATTATATATATATATATATATATATATATATATATATATATATATATATATATATGGGGAGAGAATATATATAGTATAGTATAGGTGAGTGGGGAGGGAAAATCATCACTAAATTTGAGTGGGGCACACTAAGCTAGTATTTGACTTTAACTTTTGTTTCCCCGGCCCTTTAATCTTTCTGCGTTTTGTTTTGTTTAATTATTATTTAGATGTTTGCTTTATTGGAGTTGTACTAACTATACTACGGTACTACCCCATAATCCAATTCATATATGATATATATATTTTGTGTGTTTGGACAGAAAACATAGAGTAGCGGCGGTGGGGCTCTAGCTGACTGTATGTATAGACTATAGTCAGTCACTAATTTTGGTATCTGATGCTTAATCATTTAAGTATTATTATTATACCATTCGATTAGAGAAAGTAGAGAGAGACACAGACACACACATACATTTGTGGTCTTTCCATATTCCTTTGTTCTATTTATATTCTATCACTATGCTATGCTTGTTTCATTCTTTCCTAAATACAACGGTGTTCTTTGATGATGATGCCATTTTCTAGTTTTTCTTTCCTAACTGTTTTTCTACACAAGGATCAATATTAATTAATTAATTGTCAATACATTAAAAATAATAAATCAATTATTATAGAAATAATAATAATAATAATCCAGCCCAATATTGATCATAATTCAGCCCAGTGGGCTTCGGGAAATGTTAATGGGCTTATTTATAAAAAAAAAGGGAAAAACGAGGAATGAGAATCCCAACAACACCGTGTCTTGTTTCATTTCATCACACCTGACTCCTCCTTTCGGTTACTTTTACATTTACTTTCTCTCTCTAGAGATCTCTCTCTCTCTCTCTCTCAATTCGCTTGATATATATTAGTAATTGGAAATGGCGGATTGGGGGCCGGTGCTAATAGGAGTAGTACTGTTCATACTGCTTCAGCCAGGTCTACTTTTCGAGATTCCGGGCAACAACCGCCACGTGGAGTTCGGGACTATGAAGACCAACGGCAAGGCTATTGCCGTCCACACACTTATCTTCTTCGCTCTCTATGCTATTCTCATCCTCGCCGTTCATGTTCACATCTATACCGGCTGATCCTATTCTCATTACCGGTCGGTGCCATTTTTCTCTTTCTACTTTCTCTACTTTTTTCCTCGATCCAACAATGAATGGATCTTGTCTTCTTTCTTCATCTTTCTGTACTCGACTTCTCTGTTTTTATGCTATGCAATCAACTTTGCTTGTAAATCATTATTTTTTTTTTCCTTTTCTTTATTGCTTTAATATTTTTTTTTTTACTACTTATATTATTAATCAAAGTGCTGCTTCAATTCGTGAATGAATACAACAATTATTTGATTGATATATTAAAAGTAGCTGTTGGTTGGTCCATGTAGTTTAAATAAGCATTTAGACTAGAATCTTGAGAAAGAAATCAAGCCCAATTTCAAGGGGTTTGTCAACAAATTTAAGCAATTATTAAATAAACTAGAATTTGTCCTCTATTAATTAAGTTGACTGACGACCATGTCATAGGAATAGGATAGTCAAATAATCATCCCAATTATGTCATGAACAACTAATTAAGAAGATTGAATATATGTAAGAAACTACATCATCTTATGCTAACTCATCATTATGTATATTTCTCTCATAATAAATCAATATTATACATATCTATGCTATAACATGACAAGAAGCCAAGTAGAAGCACATAAACATTAATATATAGGAGGAGAGAATTTATGGATTAATTAACACGATCACTAAAGAAAGAACATTATTTATTAATATATAAATGATGTAGCTAGGCTAGGCAGCATGTATATGAACTCCAATGGCAACAATTAAGATGGTGTAGATGCAAAAGTAGAAAAGGGAATGAATGAGAATGGAGATTCCACTGGTGTACATGTTACCGAATTCAACAACCCTTGTTCTTGCCGGAATCTGGAATAGCAACCCCGGGGAGAGGAAGATGAACAATGCAACCGCCACCACCACAGGCCCCCAATCAGGACCCCCCATTATATATATTTATAAGTTCCACCACGTACACGTACACCCTACCCGGTTTTCACTTATTTTTGCAAGAAAAGTAATAAGATGAGAGATTGTGTTGTTGTTGTTAATGATAAGTAATGAAGTAGGGGAATGTGTGTTGGTGGGTGTTTCTTAATGAAGAAGAAGGAGTAGAGAGGATATATGGATTGGATGCTAAACTTGCTTGCTGGTAGAGTTCTAAAGTGGGGAAAGTATATTAATATTAATTATTACTTTCTCTAATTTGGAGGTTCACACAAACTACTTTTGTTTCATAAGCTTCCAATTATTTAATTTTATAGACCACCCTTTCTCTCATTGTTTTTTCTTTTATAATTATCTTTCCCTCTCTAGAGGATTCATGAATCTTGTAAAGGATGTATTATTATCAAAACTCAAAAGAATCATTCATTATTATTATTTGGAAAGGAAAAAAAAAAATTGTTTGAAGAGTGGTGGAGGGTTTAGAATGCTTACAAATTGTTCGTGTTTTGTTAATGTACGATTATATATATGCACAATAGCTGAGCGGCATACATTAGTTGTAATAACTAAAATTAAGAGCATCAATTAATTAATTGTTTACACACATGATGAAGAGTAACAACGGAGTGAGTAGAGCTGCTGTTTATAACAAATGTAATTGTTAGAATTTATTTCGTGCAGATATAAATTATTTGTGTCAGATTCAGTTTTTCGTTACTGTTGCGTGAAGAGTTGCAACAGTTCGTGAAACAGTTTGTAAAAACAGAAATAAACGAGACACAAATTTAATGTGGTTCGGATACAACTGTACCCTACATCCACGGGGACCTGCAAATTAAATTTACTAATTTTTAGTTTTACGAATACAATAATAGGACTTAATCAAAATACAAAGACTCCCTCTTTGTTGACGCCGTTTTTGTATACTACGCTGAATTATAAATCTTCAATTTGCAGCACGTCCCTTGCTCCGCACGGTTGAACTCCCTTCAACGCTGAATCCCTCAGTCGGCGGATCGATCTCCTCCCGAGATCTGTTTAAGCCCCTCTCCCGAAGAACCGATCTTCTTTTTGTATAGAAGAAGCAAACTTGTGATACTCCTTGAATCTGTGTCTTCACCACAAAGCCTTGAAGCCGGTATATTTTCTATGAAAATCACGTATCACGATGGAGCAATAAAAACGAGAGAGAAAAAAATATTTCTCTGAAATCTTCTCTCGATTAACAAGACGCTCCGGGAGCAGCAAAAATAAGAGCGGAAAAATATAATTTTTCTTCTCCAACAAAAGGCGTGCTACAGCAACCAAGAAAAGAGAGATCGGCTTCTCTCCAAAACGACGCCAATAAAAACGAGAGTAAAGAAAATATTCTGCGTAAATTTTTCTCTCAAAGAAGACGTGAGATCTGAGGTGCCGTATTGCTGTATTTATACTTCTACATGTTATAAGAATCCTACAAGGAAAAAAGAGTCCATTAGGGTTAGGAAACTCTTAATTACGTAGGAAATAATATTTTCAAAACAAGGAAACTCTTTAGAAGAATAATTCCTATTATAAATCAATTAATGACAAATTAAAAGAATTAAAAGCTACAAGGACTCTTCCCTTCTTTAGCTCATGGTATATGAAAACTTGTGGCACAAGTTTTATTAATTCTCGTACAATTAGAATCCATAGGATTCTAACAATCTCCCCCTTTGTCGTTTATTGATTATAATTATTTTGTCCCGCTGAGTAAAAAACCTGAAAATAAAACAATCAGATGATTAGACCGAAGCAAATAAAACGAAAGATCATCATCAACTCTTTTCAACAACAAGAGTGGCATCAACTGCTGCAACAGTAAGTGCCACAGTTTCAGCAACTGTTCCCACAGTAGTGGCTTTGGCAGGTGGTTCACAACGGAGTCAGCTCTCCCTGCATGTGTATCTCCCTCTGTGAATGATCCTTAGGCAGCTCCTCTTGTAAATGCATTCATACTCCCCCTTTGCTTACTTGGCTTGGTAGACTTGGGAGGCGGTGGATGACGACGTGGTAAATTATCCACGTGATAAGAGACTCAGCAAATAACATCGGCATTATAGCTCCTCCTTTTATATTCTTGTGAAGACCTAAACCAATTAATGACAATAAACATCTCCATAGAATTTCACTTGGTGTTGTGGACTTAGAATCCCACGAGATTCTAACACTCTCCCCCTTTGGCATTGATTGGTCAGAATATTTACTCCCCCTAACTATATGATACATGCATGAACAAGGGTTAACAACTTCAGAATAACATCTGCACATATAAACTGTTGCAACAGTTTATCAAACAGTTCACCAGATAGTGTAAACCGTAAATAAACCATAGTTCCAAAATAAAAGCAGATAATTCGTTCAGATAAGCACGAGATAAAAGGATATGCAGTAGCAGAAACAACTTCTCTTCACAATGCTTATTATTTGTCCTATATTTCTGCCCAGCAACTGTCTCATGCACTGTTTCAACAGTTGTCTGAACTCCCCCTGCATTCCTGCACTGTTCCAGCAACTGTCTGATGCACTGTCGCAACAGTTGTCGGAACCCCCCCTATGTTCATGCCATCGTTACTGTTCTTTTCTCCTGTTCTTTTCTCCCCCTTTCTGGGCAATCACCATGCAGAGATAACTCAACATGGACTAATGATCTTGATGATTCAAGCAAGCTGTTCAAACACTTAACAAAAAGATCAAAACGAAGAGAGAATCTTGGAAGTAAGTGAGAAGAATCACTATACATAACGTGCACAGAAAATCACAAACTCACAAACTCAATACCACACGATAATTGCAATGCGAAAATCAAGGATAGTGATATCAAATCCAACATTAAATAGCAAAGACTACAGACTTTGCCAAACTTCATAAGAAACGTGGAAATGTGAGGAGTAAGCCCAATCGATCCGGTTGCAACAAAAAAAAATCAAATTTAACCGGCACATAAACAAAAATCCCGTCTCTCTCTCTCTCTCTTTTTTTTTTTTTTTTTTTTTTTTTTTTTTAAAAAATGCGTAATGCAGTACAAAAAGTAAACATGAGAAATAAACATGAGTGAAGAGACATATGTGAATAGGATACTGCATAGACAAACAAAACATATGGGATTTATCTTCACATTTACGACAAGCGTAATCCCCAAAAATCCGACTGCCAATGCAACCAATAAACTTAATAATCCCAAGTCAAACACAAAGATGCTCTTATTAGGTAGCGTACACATACGTCTAATGGTAGCTTTTTCCCATGAAAAACAGAGCAATTAAAAGGAACGAGATTATGCTGGTCGTGCAATGTGTAGTCCCCTGGGCTTTCTAATTGAGCTTTGTAGTAAGTGTTCGGTCAAGTGGTTTACTGGCTCGACTCACCTAGGCTTCGAACTATTCACTGACCATATATATATAATTTATATTGGCCGTGCAATGTGTAGTCCCCTGGGCTTTCTAATTGAGCCTTGTAGCGAGCTTTCGGCCACGTGATTTACTGGCTCGACTCAAAAAGGCTTCGAACTATTCACTGACCAAATGGTTGTAGATATATATATATATATATATATATATATATATATATATATATATATATATATATATATTAGTAACAGTAGTTCAAGAGTAGCTTTCACTCATTAAAAGAGGCAGCTTTTCCCTATAAAAACATCCAACCATGACAAGACTATTCAGAGAAATAAATAAGTTGGAGCCTTTTAAGTAATCATTTTGGGAATTGGTGAAGCTCTACCCCCACAAAGATTAGAAGTACATGAAGCATCAAATTCACATTTGTCTCAATCAGATGCAGTATGCTTAATGCAGATCCTATATGAGATGCAAAAACATATGAAGTGTCCTACCTCTAAAAGTTGCAAGTCTGGACACACAGACAGTTGCAACAGTTCATGCAACTGCATCAGATTAAACAACATAAATTCTCAGCGATTTTCGCAAGGAATCAAATTTATGTGCATCAAGGGTTTTTGCAAAAGCATCAGTTAATTCATTCTCCGTTGCAGCATAATCAATTGAGACAACCCCCTTTTCGACCAAGCCCCTTATGAAAAGATGACAAATATCAGTAAGCTTAGTTCTCGAATGCTGAATTGGATTCATAAACTTATTTTTCACATACAAATTATCACAATTCAGATTACCAAGTTTTTTATTCCCCAACCTAGTTTTGTCACCAGAACTGTTGGACTAGTTAGTACTATAATCACATGAGTTTAAAGAAGTAATGGCAGATAAACAATTAAGATCAGACTTCTTTACCCAGATTTTTTGTTGAGTTTTATTCACTAAATCAACCTTTATCTTGGGTTTTTGAGACGACACAAAAGTGTGATCAATTTTGGCGGAAAGTGGTGAGCAGGCCATTATTCTTTTAACCATTTTCAAGTACTTAAAACACCTGGGTCGTATATGACCAGCAACATGACAAAAATGACAAATAGGCACAAAACGTTTTCTTTGAAATGACTGTTTTGGCGCAACTGTCGCAACAGTCTGTGAAACAGTGCATTGTTTAACAAAATTGATTTTTCCTATTGGATCTTCTTTCTGTTTCAAAGCATCATCAGATAGTTTATTACCCCTTACACCTAGATGACCATAGTACGGCTGATTTGTTCTCAAAATTTCATTCAAATTTACCCTACCTGTATTTAATTTTGAAATAGAATCTTGGGTTTTAGCAAATTTGGCCTTCAAACTATCTGTTTCTCTACTAGCAGAAATAACATTTTGTTCAAGAGTAGAAATTCTTACCTTCAATACTTTGTTTTCCTCAATTAGGACAAGCTTCTCTTTTTCTAAGAATTTATTCGACTCGCATACCTGAAGAAATTTTTCGTACATCCTTTCATAGCACTCCTTTAATTCTTCCAAGGATGACGCGTCATCATCGCTGTTGTTTTCTGAATCCCAATCATCACCTGCAAGATTTAACGGAGTTAATCTTTTATGAGATATTGAATTCAACTTATCATACCTAAGTTCTGTCTGAACAGTCTGTCTAACTGTTGCAACAGTTTCAGCGACAGTCTGTTTGCACTTGTTTATCTGAGTAGTTCCTTCGTAGGCCTCTTGTAGAACATCCCATGCCTCCTTTGCTGATTTGCACATTGATATCAATTTGAATTGATCTTCATCGATACAACTTAAGATAGCATTGGTTGCCTTGGAATTATAATCTGCTATTCGTACTTCTTCATCACTCCACTTCTCTTTTGGGGTTTGAATGATCTCGTGTGACTCATTCATTGAGGTAGGAGGTGTCCAACCAATTAGAATCGCGCGCCAGGCCCATTCATCAATAGATTTAATGAACATCTTCATCCTTATTTTCCAATCAGAGTAGTTTAATTCACCCAAGACAGGTGGTAGGAATGCGCCTTCACGATGATTATTCATGTCTGCACAAAAAAAATAAAAAATAATTAAATCCCAAAATCTCACTAAGTGTATCTAGTGACAGGCTCTTGATGCCAATTGTTAGAATTTATTTCGTGCAGATATAAATTATTTGTGTCAGATTCAGTTTTTCGTTACTGTTGCGTGAAGAGTTGCAACAGTTCGTGAAACAGTTTGTAAAAACAGAAATAAACGAGACACAAATTTAATGTGGTTCGGATACAACTGTACCCTACATCCACGGGGACCTGCAAATTAAATTTACTAATTTTTAGTTTTACGAATACAATAATAGGACTTAATCAAAATACAAAGACTCCCTCTTTGTTGACGCCGTTCTTGTATACTACGCTGAATTATAAATCTTCAATTTGCAGCACGTCCCTTGCTCCGCACGGTTGAACTCCCTTCAACGCTGAATCCCTCAGTCGGCGGATCGATCTCCTCCCGAGATCTGTTTAAGCCCCTCTCCCGAAGAACCGATCTTCTTTTTGTATAGAAGAAGCAAACTTGTGATACTCCTTGAATCTGTGTCTTCACCACAAAGCCTTGAAGCCGGTATATTTTCTATGAAAATCACGTATCACGATGGAGCAATAAAAACGAGAGAGAAAAAAATATTTCTCTGAAATCTTCTCTCGATTAACAAGACGCTCCGGGAGCAGCAAAAATAAGAGCGGAAAAATATAATTTTTCTTCTCCAACAAAAGGCGTGCTACAGCAACCAAGAAAAGAGAGATCGGCTTCTCTCCAAAACGACGCCAATAAAAACGAGAGTAAAGAAAATATTTTGCGTAAATTTTTCTCTCAAAGAAGACGTGAGATCTGAGGCGCCGTATTGCTGTATTTATACTTCTACATGTTATAAGAATCCTACAAGGAAAAAAGAGTCCATTAGGGTTAGGAAACTCTTAATTACGTAGGAAATAATATTTTCAAAACAAGGAAACTCTTTAGAAGAATAATTCCTATTATAAATCAATTAATGACAAATTAAAAGAAATTAAAAGCTACAAGGACTCTTCCCTTCTTTAGCTCATGGTATATGAAAAAACTTGTGGCACAAGTTTTATTAATTCTCGTACAATTAGAATCCATAGGATTCTAACAGTAATTATATGAATATACATTATACATACATCTAGGTAGAACCATTGAGCTTATAATAATTGGAAGAAGAAGAAGAAGAAGAAGAAGAAGAAGAAGAAGAAGAAGAAGAAGAAGAAGAAGAAGAAGAAGAAGAAGAAGAAGAAGAAGAAGAAGAAGAAGAAGAAGAAGAAGAAGAAGAAGAAGAAGAAGAAGAAGTGGAGGAGGAGGCAGGGCAGAGAAGGCTTCGACCGAATTCGAACAGTTTAGAGACGAGTCCAGCGAAATAAAAGAGAGAGCATAATATAATATAATCACGAGGGAGGGGCAACCAAAAGAAACCGATGAAGAAGGTGAGCACCCCGAAGAGCATCAAAGCAACAGAAATACCAATAAACAGAGCCCCAAAAGACTGCCAATTATTATTATTATTATTAGACGACAAGGTGATCAGTGTGGGGGTGGAGATGAGATGATGAATCGGCGGTGAACGTAACATGTGAATCATCATCGTCCATATCTCCTCTAATTCTCAAACGACTACTACTACTACACTATTACTACAGTCGTTTGTTTAGGTGTGTGATATTTGACATTCTGGATATTTGACAAGGATGTATATTATTTGGATACGACCTCAACAAAATTAAAGGATAAGCTCCAACCAAGGAGCTACCACTGCATATGTAAGACAATTAATACCAAAACATAAATTCAAATGTTTATTTTTTCCTTCCCTTTATTTCATGCCAGTCTACTGCAGAAAACAACACACACACACATGACATGATCATCATCATATATAATCACAATATTCTAGTACACAGTATTAATACTGTCCACCGTGACACAGATCTGCTGAAATGCTGCGATAGCCTCGTCAATGTCGGGAAACATGAGTTGAGTGTGGGCCAACTGCCAGAGCATGAAATTGCTCATCAGTCTCGATTCACCGATTGTTCTTATCACCAAATCTGGGTTTGGAAATATTAATTCAATAGTATTATTGGTCTCAAGATGGTGCTCCGATCCATTAGGGTTTCGTTGAGATGTCTTCAACTCCGAAAAAACCATCTTTGAATTTTCTTAGCTTGCAATATATCTGGCAGCTTCGGTTATGTCGTATCTGCCACCGTACATATATAGTTCAAACTTCAAAGCAATCACCATATGATGGATGTCCTTGGAGCGCTCCGATGATGATGATGATGAATGTATCAGCTAGCCTTTGCAGTGACTCCGCCTACATTCCCCACCACAGACCCCCGCACATTGATCATTTCTGTATTGCAGGAACATAATATATAATTAGATGGAGTAGTACTATGCACTCCTATTTAAAAGGGTGCGTAAAAGAAAGAAATAAAAAAAAAATGTCAACCTTGAATTCTTGATCAAATGCATTTTCACTATAATACAAGCTAAGGCAATAACGATCCACATGGTCTTTGCCGGCCAGTTCACAAACGTTTTTACATCGATCTTGAGGTGTTACGATCGAAGGAATCCAGCTGGCTGGTAATTCATGAGTAGGCAATATATATATTTAATTGGATTGGATGCATGTTCTTCAATTAAATGCATGGATGGTACCTGAGAGTAAATATACCTAAGAGGGGGTGAATTATGTTTTATAATAAACTTTTTCGATATTAATTAAACTGACTTTAAGTACTTAATGAAATAATGAGTTGTTCTTTGGAAAATATTGTTATCGATGATTTAGAAAATGTAGCAAATTTTTACGTTAAGTGTGAGGAGAAAGTATAGCGAGAAAATTGTGAGAGATACGGAAATTGAAAGTAATGCGTAAAGTAAAGAACACCGTGATTATAGTGGTTCGGAGAGAATCTCCTAATCCACTCTTCCAAGCCTTTGAACCTTTATTCTCGTGCCTCCAAGATCCTTAGATCCTCCACACCAACTAGCGTGCTTACAAGTCCCTAACGACTTTCGCACAAGTATCGTGCTTACAAGAGTTTCACTCTTTCGCACTTATCAATAAGTGCTTACAAGACTTTAATAACTTTCGCACTTATCAATGAACCTCACAATATGAATTGAATGCGCTAACTAATAGCTAAAAAATTCCTCACTCAAAATATGGACTCAAATGAACAACGAGAGGTAGGACTTGAAATTTTCAACAATCAACTCTTTTCAGCTCTTTTTTTGAATTTCACTTCCGTGCTTTTCTTGGATGACTTTGATCACTATTTATAGGTGAGCTCCTCTATCTTCCAAAGAAAAAACATCAATCTTGATTTTCTTGATTGACTTAATTGAGGTTATAATTGATTTGACTCAATTAGATCAGCTCAAATAGGAAAACATTTGAATTTTGAAATCAAGAACAAACCTTTCTTCAACATAAATAAATTTCAGCAGAGCATCTTCCGGCAGAAGTGAGCATCTTTCGGACGGACAGCAATTATTATAAATCTTTGATTGGTTGATTGCAAAGTGATTGAAGGGTTTCCAAAATAAAGAGATAGAGTCTCAATCAGCCAAACTTCAATTCAAAGCAGGTTTGATTTTTGAATAAAGGAATTTCTTCCAAAGATAGAATATAAAAGAAATCTTTTGCTTCCAAATATATTTCCAGCAAATAGAGAGAGTGGGATTTGGCTGATCCTTTAAAACTTATTTTTCAAAAGAGAATTTGATTATTTTCGAAAATGAATTGCCCAAAATGCTTATAGAAAATAAAGATTATAATAGTTGGGCTTTGTGAGTAAATGTGGAGGATCGTTTGGGCTTGTTCTCGAGATAGTTCAAGGGCATTGGGTCTTCGATTATGCTTAATATCTAATAAGAATAAGACTCAACATAATTCATTAGTTCCATAATCAATTGTTTGTTTGATCATCACTTTGGATTACAAGCCATTTGGCTAACAGTACCAAAGAGAGATCAAGCTGCTTGCGTAATCTTTAAGCAATTAAGGGTGACACAAAACTTGGATCTCGATTAATTATATTTTGTTAATATTACAAAACTATCTGCAATTAGTTGGCAGCTGGATTTATTGCTCTATTCTTTTCAATTATTTTCTTATAACATACATTGCAAACACAGATCGGAATCATTGGGTAATCTTTTAATCATTTTCTCATAACACAAGATACATCTTGCGTAATTGGACCACTATAACTACACGTGAAGGAAACATGCATGACAAATAATTAACCAATTTGTTTAAGAATCGGATACAGAAAACTAACTACTTACTTTATTCTTCCGTTCCACTCGACTCAACTCCGTTACATGTATCAAATCAAGCTCAAACACAACTCTCAAAGCTCGGTAAAAGTTCAAACAAGCGTGTTCGACGACTCTGAGATTTATTTGCACTCCTAATCATTAGTAACTGCTTGAATTTGAGCCATCATTTCTAATATTTAAAAACTAAACTAATTAAAATGTGTAGATTTACAGATATGTGCTCTACTGATGACTGCAGATGAGGCAATTTTATGAAAGTGCCCACAATTAACTTGGATATATAGCCTTATTCCCGGTACAGAGAATGAAATGAAATGAAGGGACTAATTAATTCTTACTTGTTTGAAAAAAAAGGAACTCTTACAATCCGAAACGCAGAACAAGTGATAAGAACGTACAGCAGTTTCAAATATCATCAATAATGCACTCTGAAACACAAACATGCAGACACAGAGACACAGAAAAAGAGAGACATATGATCATTATGTATATGCTAGATAACTAGTACTTGTGTCCACCGTAACGCCTTTGCCTCTTCTGAAATAGGGTGAGAGCCTCCACTAAATCCCCCTCATTAAAGTCTGGAAAAAGCTTGTCCACGAAAATCAGTTCGGTGTAGGCCGACTGCCAGAGCATGAAATTGCTCAGTCTCAACTCACCACTCGTTCTTATCAGCAAATCTGGGTTTCTATATGACGATTCCTCTATCACATTTGTTTGAAGATGCTTCTCAATTAGGGTTTCGTCAATGTCTTCCACCGATCCCAATACACCATCTTTCACTTTTCTTGCAATTTGTTTTGTGGCTTCAGTTATGTCGTGACGTCCGCTGTAGTTCAAAGCAGTCACCATATCCATTCCTTTGTTATCCTTTGACCGCTCCGATGATGAAGATATCAGACTCTGCAGAGACGGCCTAAGTCCCCCTACATTCCCCACAACAGACACGCGCACATCATTTCTGCACATAGTATATGTATGTCATTAATTAATAATGGAACAACAATTATATAATATGATGATAGTTAATATATAGAGAGATGGAGAGAGTGCATGCAATAATAATTATATATATGGAGGAAGCGCTGACGTACTGTATTAGCTCCTCCATATCTGAACGTATAACCTCTTCAAACAAGTTCATCAGAAAGTTAACTTCCTCCTGCATGCACATTATCATGTATATATAATATAATTAAGTAATTAGTTGATGATTGATGAATTATATTTATATATGTTCACTGATTAATTAATTAATCAGCGGTAATGCATGTACGTACCTTGGGGCGAATCCAATTTTCAGTGGAGAAGGCAAAAACAGTGAGAACTTGAACACCAAATTTCTTACAGTTACGAGTAAGTTGTTTCATGGCTCGTCGTCCAGCAATGTGGCCGAGCTGTACAGGCAAACCTCTGCTTTTGGCCCACCTTCTATTTCCATCCATTATCACTGCCACGTGTTTCGGCATCAGTTCCTTCTCCAGCCCCTCAGGCAACTCCTCGTAAGCACCACCAGTACCACATGATGATTTAATAATTGATGATCCCATACGGCGCTTAACAACACCACCACCGTAATAATTATTATTATCTCTACTTGTAATTCTGCTATAGTTATGTGACGACAATCTGGATGGTTTGTTCATACTGATATTGTTGAATATTGTTGGAGCAACTGCTGGGAAATTAACACACAGCATTATATTTTGATAGGTAAAGAGTAGTAATTAATGTATATAAGATCGATAATTGTGCTTCAATATCAATCTGCTCCTTAGTTGTGCTGACTACTTAAAGGATCAAATAATCACTCTACTAAATTATTGATTTGAATAATTAGGTAGATAAAGTTAATTGAAAGCAAAAGTACTAATTACAGATGTGTATCAATTAATTATGGAGTGGTCTCAGGTCTGATAATATCAATTAGTAACAACAATGACGTGCACGCAACTGCACAGCATGTGTTTTAATTAAATGCTACCAAAAGGAAAGCGTAATAATTAATTAAACAGGGTATGTATGTATGTATGTTCTAACAATCATATATCCTACCATCTTACATACATCCAATTCCAGTCGGAGTTCATAATACAAGGTGGACTTCAATTTTCGGGGATTCTGGGGAACCATCTCCATTTTTTTTGCATAAAGTGGGACATACGCAGAAAATAGACAAAAGAAAAGGAAAATTAAGACTTTTTTTTTTTTTTGCATTAATTTGGATTTTGGTGGGATAAATAACAAAACAAGGTGGACTAAATAAAAATATAATGTAATGTTTTTTTTAATATTTTTTTTAAATATTGAAGGTGGGGTTGAGTCAACCTTGCCATACATCTATACCAATTTGAGCATTCCCATGTTGTATATGTTGGATTTATTTGAGTAAAAATTTCTTACAGTAAACAACTTTAAACCTTTTCCTCAGGTGAACATGGGTGATAAACAATTTGCTTGACAACCAGACACACAGATAAATCACACTTTTGATTGTTGATCAAGCAGGGTTACAATACAAACAGTAACATATATAAGGACATCGAGACCACAAACGGTATAGTTATGCGATTAGTGCAAGACTCAAAATAAAAACCAACGTTGATCGAGAAATACGTGTTCATACACACATTGTTTATTTCGCCACCAACGAGTCTAAAAATCATATCCAACTGCAGATGTGTATAATAAATAAATAAATATTGGTATTATATAGTTGGCACGATGAATCACATATAGGATCGCATACGGGGCCTGACCAAAGATTGGGCACCATCGACAAATATAGTTGTACCAGTCATGTACCTTGACCCGTCACTAATCAGGTAAATAACAGTCGAAGCCAAATCCTTGTCAACATCCAGCCATCGTTGTAATGGATTTGCTTCACTCACCAACTTCTCTGCCCTATCTTTACCAACCCAAACGGGGAACTCATCCTCAATATGCAACCCTCGAGCTATTGCATTCACCCTTATTTGATACTTGCCTATCTCCATTGCCGTTGTCTGCATTGAGGGAAATATTGAAATCATTATTATTAGTTATTACAAACAATTATTGAGTAATTCATGTAATAAGTTGAAAGACTTATTACCCTTGCTAGCTGATGCACTGCGGCCAAACATGAACCATATACTGCAGATCCTGGATATAGGCCTCTTTCAGCTCCGATTATTGAGGTCAAGAGGATGATGGACCCACCAGATTTTTGATCTCTCATTGCTTTACCCACAGATTTTACAATATACCATGTTGCCATCAAATTTATTTTCACAATCTTTTTGAATTCATCTTCACCCAGACACAGAGGATCTTGCATCTTTCCTGTTTCACATTATCACAAGTTGGAAGTTATTATTATTATTATTATTATTATTATTATTATTATTATTATTATTATTAGGCTTTTGCTGTCTACAAACATAAAATAGACAGAGTTAACATAAAATAGTATGTCGGGATTATATAATATTTGCAAAGAAACAATTTGGAGTTGTATGATCAAAATAAATTTTGTGATATACAGAAATGCAGACACGCGAAAGCACATGTAGGTCAAGTGCCTAGTAGGTCTGGTTTGGGAGATTGGTTCCGAGGTGTTGGAATTATTAACCTCCATCTTTGGAAACACAAAACAAACAAAGACACGAAATCTATGCAAGACTTCCTTGGAAGCAATGGAAGCCGGAAATCGCATGAATGCAAATGTTGATCACAAGGAAACAGTTAGCACAGAGTACAGATACGAACCTAGTCAACACAAGTGTATAGACAACATAAGATTGATGAGAGCTTTCTTCTTGTTTTATTCATTTGAAATCCCTTTCCCAAATCAAATGTGATTAAAACTAATCAAAACTCCATCTAGTTTGGTTCAACTCTCAGATCACCAATTGAATATTATATTTTTACTTAAAAAAAGAAAAAAGGAGAACAGCTAAAAATTGAGAGAGAGGTGAAAATACCCTCATAGGAGTAACAGCTGACGAAAGCATCCAATCTGCCGAGGAGCATCCTGGCCTTGTCCACCGCATCGTGAAAAACCCCTTCACTGTCTTGTTCCATATCAAGGGGGACCACATCAATTGAAACGGCGCCGTCTAAGGAGCCCTTGATCCTCTCAGCCGCAATCATCAATTGCCCCTCATTCCCCATCAGAACCAAACGGCAGCCACGCTGAGCTAAGTGGCGGGCGATGTTGATAGAAATTAGGTCCCCATTGGAGGTCAGCAAAACCTTCTTTCCTCCTGAATTTTCCATATTTAATTCAAGCAAATAGTACTCTCTGAAGTGTGTCAATTGATACGAAGAACAAATAGATCCGTCACCGAAGAAATCGGTGTATATTAAATAATGGAAGGTGAGAAACTCGTGCGGGAATGAATTTTTTAATTTTTATTTATGTCCGGCCATCCGGGTACGGAAGATTGAGTGACAATCGTTGGATTGGAATCGTTGACGTCGTTGCTCACGTATTAACTGGTACTAGGATAAATTGTTTGACTTTGTAAACACCAGCAATTCATTAACAAATTTGTTTTGTCCAACATCTTCTTTACCCACATTTTACTTTCCTAAATATTTAAACCCCTCATTTGAAATAGAAATTGATCTATATTACTACTACTCTAATAATGTAATGCAGTAGTACTGTACTAGTACTAATAATTTGTTCATACGGGTTCTCTATATATATATATATATATATATATATATATATATATATATATATATATATATATATATATATATATAGTACTACAATCTCTTTCAGAGAGAGAGAGAGAGAGTAAAACGGACCTTTGAGAGTTTTTTCTTGATTGGATTTGATGCAGTGGTAGCAGTAGTAGTATCTTTGTCAGGAGCACTAACGCAGTTGCTTGATGAGCAATGAAACTTGTTCGCCACTTTCTTCATGAAACCAATTATGTTTCCTTTCTTGGCTTGTTTTTGTGATCCTAGTTCATGAGTACATTTCTTGGTAGGAGGATTTTCATGGTATACGCTGTTTCTCTTGAAGAGCTCTTCGAGTGATGTCCTCTCTCTCTTTAACTCTTGATTCTCTGTCTCGGCTAGTAGTTCAACAGATGCAGCAAACAGATAATTCTGAAGAGGACAAGTAGCTACCATGTGCATGTGGCCATCAATGGAATCTTCTCCTTCGAATATCGGCTTGTAACTAAGGGTTATTATGCTTGCTTGACTTGTCCTTTGTGACGACACTGCTTCTTCAGCTTCAATAAACTTGTCTAACTCATTCTTCATTACATTGACATCATTTTCTGTAATCATCTCTATCTGTTGTTGACCAGTCAATTTCTCAATGGACACGGCAAGTGTGGGTGTCGGGGTATCGGTTATGAACTCATAGCCAAAAGTGCCGATTGACAGAAAGTCAAAAGGCTCAAATAATTCTTCTTTATAGGAAGCTTCAACAACGCCGCCTTCATATCCATTTGAAGATTTTCTATGTATCATGTTCGAGTGTGGCAAGGGCTTGGCGGGCTCTATGTAGTATTTATGTTCATCAAACACTGTCTGTACTGAAAAACAAGTGGAACCGTTTCCTGCGGAATTTTTTTACCAAATAAAAATAAAAATAAAAAAGTAAGTGTAACTAGAATATCATTGATCGACTTATTTTGTGCAACTATAAGATTAGCATGAAAGTGTACGTCTTCTTGTGTAAGAGATTAGCAGAAACGCAAGTTCGGATTTATAGAGCGGAGCTTACATGGAGAGTTCTTGTGATCTAACTTTCGAAAGGTGGGTGTGTATGTGTGTGTAATCTCATTAGCAGCAGTTAACTAAACTGAACAATGTTGCTGCATGAAAAGGAGGGACAAGATATTTAATTTAGTGGTAGAAATAATAAAATTTACCTATGGTGGAATTATTGTTGAGCGCCTCAATGCAGCCATTATGCTTTAGCTTACGATGCATCCAGCCTAGTAACTGCATCCAAATATACAAGTTAGAAATATGGGATCGATCGATCATAAACCCAAGTTTCATGAAATTATTATTTTAATTTTATGTGGCACTAACCTTCATTGTCGATGAATCCGAAGAAAGAAAATAGTGGGGGAGCTAATTAAGATGGAACCGAATGATATAAACAATCATATAAAAAGTGGAGTTATAGAGAGAGAGAGGGAGTATCTTTTCATCACATAAATGGTGTTACAAAGACATGTACACTGACAAAATTACAAAGACAACCTCAGAGTGGGCAATGCCTACATACATATATATCTCTTTGTCGGAGTTGGTGGCTTTGTTCCCTAATGATGTGAAATTAGCCACTAATCACGCATCTAATTAGTACATACATGACTGCGATTCATGTATTAATTATCACTTCAATCAACTTGTATTGGATGTTTGTCTGTGGAAAATCATCTGGACTCTTCGCAGCAGCAGCAGCAGCAGCAGCATGATTATTTTAACTGTATTTGCAATTGGTGCACGATTAGGGAGTTGTTAATTGGTCATATCAATCTTGACGTTAGAGTATTAGAGAAAACGACGACAATGTCTTGTTGGGTGTGAGCATTATTTTGTTAAGATTTTGAAATTGGTGAGGTAAGATTAATCAGAAATGACATTTTAATTAAAACAAGTGATTATAAGGCTGCATGTAGGCTATCAAGAATGAAAGTCTAATTAAAAGTTATAACAATAGGCTGTGGGCTGGGTGTTCAAAGGCTTTCTGTCACCATAATTAGTTATCAGCAGAGCTGGAGTTAAAACAATCACTTGGCACAATTTTATTTGCTCTCAGAGTCTGAAATCGACCGGCCACGTTCACATTTGTCGATTCATTAACAAATGTAAATCAATCACATCTAGTATCATCACTTATATATTCAACAATCAACAACAATATGCATGCAATCAAATGAAAGGTTAAACAGTTTATGCTAAATTAGGAAGTACACTTCTCTGATTTTATAAATTTTATTTGTTCCAATTTGGCTCTGAACCATTTCATGGTGTAACTAAAAACATAATATAAGATCAAAGTATAAACGAACGAACATGGGAAAACAAGGAATCAAAAGAATTCGACTAGCCAGCAATCATCACAATAAATTCAACCAACATATTTCTTCTTCAAACAAAAAAAAAAAACAGCGGTTTTAGATAGAAGGTAATAAATGTAGTGTAGCAAAAAGAAAAGGTCATTCTGAATCTCAAAATAAAATCGAGGACATACAAAGAAAGAAAAAAAACTGGCATTTGCTTCTCTATGACTAACAGTAAAGAGTTTTAATTCATCCTCTGAGCAGCTTCCTTGGCAAGAACCCTCTCTTTCGCCTTTGTCTTTGCCTGGGATTTTGAGCCCATAACACCGCCTCCCCATTTCTTCCTCGTCTCATCATATTTGTCATTGAAATTGGCCTGCATTGACATCACTATTTAATCAAATACCATTTCCCTCACAAATCTAAGTACAGAGAAATCTAATTCCGAACAACAATATACCTTGATAGCTTCTAGAATCTTGCTGAAGTCCATCTTGTCCTCATTCTTCACAGAGGTCAAGCACAAAACAGATGCTGTCTTTTGGTGGACAATCTGCAAATAACATGCACGTAAAAGTAAGTATTAAACTAGTTCCTACATACATATGAGACGAAGAAGAAAAAGAAAATGAAAAAGTGCTACTTACTGTTCCAAGCCTAGCCTTGCCCTTGACAATACAGTAAGGGATCTCCATTTTCCTGCAGAGTGCAGGGAGCCATACAACCAGCTCAATTGGATCGACGTCATGAGCTATCACCACCAACTGAGCCTTATTCTGCATGGGGAATTTTGAATGCAGTTAATCATATGGGTCACCATGAAATCAAAGATATCACAAAACTAGTGTACAAAAATAAAAACCTGCTCAATGAGATAAGTGACGTGGTTGAGACCATATTTGACAACAATAGGCTTCTTGTACTCGGGAGCTTTGCCTTCAGACTCAGCCTGTGCTCTTTTCAATAGACGCTCCTTCTTTTCAGCTCTATCCTCTGGCCTGTATTTCAGCAGCATCTTGAACAGGCTCGTTGCTGCAATTCATTAACAAAAACAATACATTCCGATAAATTTCTACACGTAAAGAAAAAATAAACATGTTCATTCTCAACTATTACAAAATCATGGATAAACGTTAGTTGAAATAAAATGGCATTATGCTTAATCATGCAGTCAGCAATTAAACTAAAGTAACCATAACACGTTAGGGAAACTAATGTAAAACAAATTTGAGGGGGTCTTGAAACAAATTGGCAAAAGCTCTAACGACATTAAAAGGCTGGACTGTAAGTGAAAATAATTCCAAGTAAACAAACATATCCATACAATGTCAGCGATAGAAATGTTTGATTGATAGATACTTTTTCTTCCTCAACTAAATTAACAAAGTATCACTGCATCTCAGATCCTCGGACACTTAAACATACAAAATAGATTTGTTAGAATATCCCTCATCTACATTAACTATACATCAATAAAAAAAGCAAATTTTACACTTTAAATCCGAACGCGCTTTCGAAGTAAATCACACAAAATAAAACTATATCAGCAGTACGATCAAATATCTACATTACAAAAGCAATAAAACCAAGAAAAAAAAATGAAAAAAAAAATAGAGATATATAGAGAGAGAGAGATAAAGGGGGAAGAACAAACCCAAGTTTTTGTCAAGGGTTTTAGAGAACTGGTGAATGGGTGGGGGAACCTTCAACCTCTGCTTGAGTATCATCTTCTTCCTCTGGATTCTGACAACTTGGGGCCATTTCACGAATCGATGAAGATCTTTCTTCGGGGGAAGAGCACCTCCGATACCAAACTGCTTCGGTCTTTTCTCAAACAGTGGGTTCACAACCTTATCACTCTTTTTCTTCAACGGCAGCTTTGCGCCCTTCTTTGGAGCCTGCCATTTTTAGAAATATAAAATTAAAAAAAAACACAGACTGCGGAAACAACAATCTTAAGGGTGGATGAGATGTACCATTTCTTCTTCGTTTGCTGTGACAATGGAGAAACGGCTGCTAAACGAGTTGTTACACACAGAAAGAAAGAGAGAAGGTATATGGATGGCGATGCTACTAGGGTTATATAATCTCAGTGGGCCTAAAACCCTAAATGGGCCAAACACCTACTCATTCATTTTTTCTTCTACCCATACAGCCCAACCCCATATCACTCCTTTTTATTTTATTTTTACACTTATTTCATTTCATACTCATATGTATTTGCATTTTTTTTTTTGTGCAAATTTCGACCGGATGGTCTATTTTAATAGAAAATCGGATGCCATAGGAAGATCGACACGTGGATAGTTCAAATAAAAATATAATTATGATTCTAATAATTGGAAAAAAAAAAGGAAAAAGAAAACCCAGCAAAACCCATAACCCCACTAACCCTAATTATAATCAGCGTGATTTATTAAGAGTTAAGACTTAAGAGTGTCATAGGTCAAAAAATTAGTGGAATTCAATTTATATTAAATATCAGATTTATTAAGAGTTAAGACTTAAGAGTGTCATAGGTCAACAAATTAGTGGAATCTAATTTTTATTAAATATCAGCTGATCCGCTCAGAATTTAATATTTTTTTTTCTTTTATGAGTGAATTGAAATTTACTCACTGTACTGTGTAGAACAAAAAGTAAAATATAAACATTATTAATTAACTCGGTGTAATGATTCAAACAAGTTGTTTAATGCCAAATATATAGAATTAAGACAAAATAAGAGGGTGTTTGGCTAAACTTATTTTAAACAGCTGATAAGCTTTTACGTCTGATAAGATGTTTTAAGAGCTGATAAGTTGTTACATCTTATTTTTATGATTAATTTTAAGAGTGTTTGGTTAATGAACTTATTTCCTATTTTTACTCAATATAAGATCTTAAATAAAAAGGTGGGGTAGAGGTACTTATTTAAAAATATCTTATTTGCTCTCCAACAACTTATTTTAAAAAAAATTAAGATTTTTTTCTAAAAATTTACCAAACACTTTGGAAGAGCTTATAAGCTCTAAAACATCTTATAAGCTCATTTTAACATCTTATAAGCTTAGCCAAACACCCTCTTTGAAATAAAAATATATACTAAATTGATTTCAAACATATATTCATAATATATTAACTTTTAATTTTATTTTATTTATTATTATTATTAACCTTTTTCTTCTTCAAAAAAATAGTAATTATTTTTTCCAAATCAACTATGTGTTTGTTAAGCTTTAGAAAACAATTTCAAAAGTTTATCATACCTTCAAACATTATTTGACTGCTATAATAACAAATCAAAATCTACAGTAGAAAACAAAAAAAAAAAAAATCGTTTAATTAGAAAACTATTGTACTAAAATACATTTTATCAGCAACGTAACTTTGGATATGATTTGAGTACTGTTATGCATACAATATGTGTGTCCTATATATAAAAATATAGAGAAAAAAAAACAGAATAAAAATGAAGTCCAAATGAAATGATAACACTGTAAATTTAATATGTGTTATAGTAAATGGAAGCAAAAAGAAAGATATATAGGTAGAGTGATATTAATATATAGAGGTGAAGTAAATTAAGGTAACCACTAGCAGCCAGGCCAGGCCAGCTGATATATATATATAGAGAGAGTAATGGTGTCAGCCACTACTACGCATGTATAAATATATATATATATATAGTTACGTTGAGCAACTTGCCTGCAGGCTGCAGCTGTAAATGTATGTATTCCCCAGCCTCAGGCCACCACAATACATTAATATATTACTTACAATGCACCAAGTCAAGTGTGTGTATATATATATATATATTTTGAAATGCAAGTTTAATTAGTACTTGAAGTACTAGTTAAACCTAGCTCCACTTTCTTTACTACAATACTAACATGCATAAACCCCACGAGACATGCTTGTAAACCACATATATAGTAGTTTCAAAGTATCTAAATTTAACTCTATGGTCATGGGGATGGGCGATAACACACATTATATATATATATATATATATATATATATATAATTAATTAATGTTATGTCCATACATATATAAATATTAATGTTGTTTTGGAATCAATATATTTTATGCACCTTTGAAACAGGAATGTTTTAATTTGTGCAGAATTTTATACAAGTATCTATTTAGTTTGCATATTATATTCTACATTATATTGATTGGAGAACAAAATTAAATTAGAAAATAAGATTAAAATGTATATATATGTTTGAAGGTCGAAATCTGGTATTTCTTTTGATCTTGTTTTTTAGAGATGAGTGTAATAATAATCTATTAACAGATACATATAACAAAAGATAGATGCCGTCGATCAATCAGAATATGTGTGAACCATATAGAATAATTCAACTTTTAAATTTGTGATCTCAGTCTGATCGAGCGGATGAACCGATCTGAAGATCTGATTATTATTCATACTAGCAGTTAGCTTGTTGTTTTAATTTTCTCCAAGCAAATTAGACGACGACAACAACGCTAATTAATTAATGATTAAAGCTAGCAAATAATTAACTAATAAGACGACGACTCACTACTCATGTCGTTCATGGGAACCACCGAATAATGAAACAAGATTAATTCTGATCATCATTCTTTTTCGGTTCTCCCATCATTATATATAAAATTTAATATATAAAAGCAAATGATGATGATTAATTATTACTAGTTAATAATAATATATATTATAACAAAAAGGATCGGAGCTGGAGAGATTGAATACAATACAATTAATTAATGAAGATATATATATATATATATATATATATATATATATATATATATATATATATGGTTTCAAAGCCAAAGAGCACCAGCCTGCCTGAGAAGGGGAACAAGGGTTCCATTAATATGGGAAGCTAGAACAGCATCGATTCCACCAACCAGATTGCCGCCGATGAAGACCACCGGCACGGCAGCCGATGCGGATGCGGTGAATAACGACGACAAGGCCCTGTAAAGGTGTTTACCTTTGGGATGTTGATCAAGCTCGTGGACAGTCGGACTGACACCCATGCCGGAGAATAGCCTCTTAACGGCGTGGCAGAGGCAGCAGGAGCTCCTGCTGAATATAACAACCGCATTTGCTGTAGCCATTTTCTCTATGCACCTACTATTCATCTTCTTCGATGACATCATTTTTGTGAGCCGCCGTCGGTGCATTTTAATTATTACCTAGCTAATATTACAGCTCGTTCTTAGCTTGGGGGTACACATACATATACTTATTTATTTTAGGGTTCTTATTCATGAGATAGATACATACCAAGATAGTATACATGTATCATATATATATGTGTGGAAGCTAATTAGATAGATAGAATAAATGCAGTACTTACTACTCCTAGTGATTATTACCCCCGGCCCAGTTAGTGGGAGTTGAAAATTCTAACCCTTTTTTGGGATTATTATTTTCATTATATTCCCGCCTCATCATATTAATACCCACTAACTAACTATTTTCATACATTTATTCTCACTCCCTCACTGTAAGTAGTCCGGTCCCCACTGCATAAATATATACATATAATTATATTATTAATTGTCACGAGTAATGCATGTAAATAATAAGGGTCTTTCTAGGGTGAGATACCCCATGTTCTAAACTTTTATGAGATATGCATTAATCACCATTAGTTTTCTAAGATTAAATCTGGACCCTAGGAAAATAACATGGCTTATGTTCTAAAAAATGAAGTACATTACCATAATATCCTTCGACTATTTTTTTTATTAAATTAATATAAAATTGATTAACATTGAATTGTCTAATTTACCCCTACTATATTTTAATTAAATAATTAATTTAAATTTATTGTGACTGAGTTTTATTTGATAAATAATCGAAAAAAATGCATTCATTAGAAATAGAACTTGTGACCTCTTAATACATTTATCACTCCTCACCATCCAAGCACATTAACTTATTATGAAATATTTAACCATAATTGTATACATACTGTTAATAGAAATATTAATTGCAACATTCATTATTATTAAATGATATTAAATAATTATTATTAACAAATTTAATAAAATAAAGTTTGAAAAATATAAAGAATTGCAGTTCAATACGCCAAACATCTATCGTTAATTATATAATATTAGAAGTATTAATAAACTTCACCATTTAAAAATGTAAAGAATGCTCAATTAAATAAAAAAAAAGTGCATAACTTAATTCAAACTCACTTATGTTATTTAATCGATAGTGTGGCAAATCCAAATAAAAAGTAAAATAATATGTTTCTTTAGAAGTAGAAAAAATTATAACTCATTCCAATTAGTAGTTTTCTTACTTTAAAATAAAATTATATACTACAAATACTATATTGTGAATTTTCTTTTAATATTTAATTTAATCAACTAGTAAGATTTGAATCGATGAAGTACAAACCCTTTCAATTAGTAAACGTTATTCAAATATTTGAATCGGTTGCTTAACTATTGACATAACATGTTACAAAATTGATTTAACTATTTAAAAGTAATGTCTAATATCTTTTTAATTCAATTTTGTCATAAAAATTTATAAATTTAATTCCTAACACATGTAAGAACCTAATCGTAAATCATAATATTTTATCAAAGCGTAATATTTGAACCAATTAAGCTCAAGTCCTTTCAATTCGTAAACATTATTCAAATATTTGAATCGATTCATTAGCGCGCTCAACTATTGACAAGAACGTCTTAATCAAATTAACTATTATTAATTAAAATGTAATACATTTTTAATTCAATTTTATCATAAAAAAATAATTCCTAAATTACGCAAGAACCAAATCATAAGATTAATTAAAGAGTATGATTTCAATCAATTAAGCGCAAATCCTTTAATTTGTAAATATTATTCAAAAATTTGAATCGATTAAGTTCAACCACTGACAACAACGTATTAATCGAGTTAACTATTTATAATTAAAGTCTACTATCCTTTTAATTCAATTTTAACAACAAAATAATAATTTAATTCGTAAAATCGTAAGAATCAGATCGTAAATCGTAAGATTTAATCTAACCATGAACCGATTAAATCTTACGATTTTTACCAATTAAATTTTATTATTTTTTATGATAAAATTCAATAAAAAAAAGTTACTAAACTTTAACTATACACAGATTGATTAATACGCTATTGTAAATTATTGAGTTTAACCGATTCAAATATTTGAATATTGTCTACGAATTGAAATGAGTTGAGCTTAATCGATCAAATCTTTGAATATTGTTTTTGAATTGAAAACACATGAGTTTAATTGATTCAAATATTACGATTTAATTAAATCTTACAATTTACGATTCAATTCAAACTTTAAATTCTTTCGAAATTAATTTTTAAATTACACAAGTTGAACAACATTTCCTTATATTTTTAAATTATATTATATAAAGATTTGTTAGTATGGGATATTTTTAATATATAATAATAATAATAATAATAATAATAATAATAATAATAATAATAATAATAATAATAATAATAATAATAATAATAATAATAATAATAATAATAATAATAATAATAATAATAATAATAATTATATGAGAATTAATAATTTATTTAACATTATTTATATAAGTTTTATAACCATTATAAATATTAGCTTTGTGATATATATCCATATTGTTAGTTTATTGTCAATTATGTGTTGTGTCTTAATGGTAAGTATTCTTGTATGTTTTCATATGGTCACAAGTTCGAATTCAGGTTGATGCAATTTTGGATAGGTGGTTTAATGATTTTTACGAATAATGATATAATTGACGTTATAAATTTTAATTCAACAATAAATATATATTTAAAATTGCATTAAAATAGAGAGGGTAAAATTGACATTTCATTACTAATTTATAATTGCTGATTTTTTGAAAATATTAATTATACGAAGGGTATTTACGACAATACGTAAATGAGGAAAAATTGGATTTTTTGGCAGGGACACGTGGCGCAATATAAAGGGGGTATCTCATAAAAGTTTAGAACATGGGATCTCACCCTAGAAAGACCCAAATAATAATAGTCAATCTGTATTAATCCAACACAGAAGTCAGTTGAGATTGATATATAAATATGAATAATAATAATAATTAATAATATACTACATCAATACGTCCGATCGGGATCAACCACTCCAGTAGTGGTATTATGATCGATCACATAATAACTATATATATACGAATGGAAGTTCTGCAAATATATAATACAGCGTTGCCTGCAGCCTGCATCCTTCTTTTTTTGTGATCACTGATGACGTACGGTAACTGAGCTACGTAAGTTCATCAGTACTTGAAGTATGCTACAGTGCAAATTATATTTAAGGGCAATATGATTAATATAATGGTAGGTCATTTTGAGATTAAAGTCCACTACTTATTTAGGAATCATAATCCTAATCCAACTCCGGGTTTCGCAGGAATCATAATCCTAATCCAACTCCGGGTTTCGCCCGGACACCCCAACACCTCTACCTTCTTTGGTGAGCGCTAGTTTTACGAGCAGGAATCATAATCCTAATCCAACTCCGGGTTTCGCCCGGACACCCCAACACCTCTACCTTCTTTGGTGAGCGCTAGTTTTACGAGTACAAATTACAAAAGGGTAAAGGAGACTGTAGTTTGTCAAAACAAAAACCAACAATAATAATTAATTAATTGAGTTCACAAAAAAAGGTCCTACCGGGAGTCGAACCCAGGTCGCTGGATTCAAAGTCCAGAGTGCTAACCACTACACCATAGAACCATATTTATGAAGTTGACGTTGATCAATCTACATTCACTGAAAGGAGTATGGCATTATATTCTTCTATTGATCATCATTTCAAGTCCTAGAAGACTCACTATCTGAACTAGTTTGCATTTGAATGAAATGATGGGGATGTGATGAGATAATATCAAATTTTGTGATAATCCAAAAAATGCTTTAAAAAGAAAATCGAATCATTTTATATTGAGGAAGCGAAGGGAGCAAAATTAATCCCTAGACGACTCTATTAGTGCAGGCTACAAAATTTGCAATTCCTTTTCGAACTATTTATTTTCCTCGTAATCACATCAACGAATTTAGTGAATTTAATGTGTTTTTTCTCAAATAATTTTTTTTAATTAAAATTATTAATATAAATGATTATTATGTGGGAATGAGGGAGTATTATCTAGCTTCTTCTCCTCTCTCTTTCAAACAATCAGACACACGCACATCAAATTACAGCCTTATATCTCTAATCCATCTCATCATTAATCAATCCTTTTCTTTTTTCATGGTAATAAAATAATTTGTCGATCCAATTAATAATGCTCCTCATCCTCTTCTTCCGATGGGCTGTGGCATTTCCCGTTTTGACTCCCGGTTGCACGATCACGATCATGATCGTGTTGATGGTGATGGGCGAGAAGACCGTTCCACCAAAAACAATCACGGTGGCAAAGGACGTCTCCTATTTGTCAAGAGCAGTACTAACGGCGGAGGGGGTGACGGTTGTCGGAGGAGTGTCTCATCTCATCCATATAATAAGTCCTTGTCCCCGATCAATCATATAGCATCTCAGCAGCATCACCGCTGTCACGAACGGCCAAATAAAAGGAATTCCGGCGAAATTGAGAACAAGAATATTCTAGATAGAGAAAACAACAATCTTAATAAATATGGCCGGGATGCTGAAAAAGACGAAGAAGAAGAAGAAGGTGGTGGGAGAAAATGTATATCTAAGGATGATATTGATAAAAATAATAATAATAATGGTGATGAGATGGAAGGATCATCAATCATGTTTAGGGGATCACCAAGCTTTAGGGAATACTGCCGTCCAGAAGATCAAATCAATACCAATAACAATAACAATACAAATGGTGAGTTTTTTTTTTATATAATAATTTTGACGCTAATTAATAGTATGTCTTTTTTTAGCATCAATATATAGTTGAATATTGGATTATTGTTGGAATGAGAATGAAAATGAAAATGAAAATATAAATAGATATTGTTTGTGTTGGTAATGACTAATGAGTAATGGGTGCAGACAAGGAGGAGGAGGAGATGATGAGGAAGAAAACAGTAGTGGGGGTCAGAACTAGAAGGGAGAACATTAAGAATAAGGTATGTACATCTGTTTATAATTCGTTTATTGATTGAATAAATTAATGATAATAATTACAAAAATGTAAACAAAAAGAAAAATTACAGGGAGCAGGTTCTGGTGGGGTGGCAGCTGCAGTGAAAAGAAGAGTGAGAAGATTGAGAAAGGTTTCACCAACAACAACCACATAGCCCCTCAACCAGGCCCATCACATACTATAATAATTACCACATTATTATATACTTACTACATAATAATTAACTTGTAATTATTTTCCATTATTTTTTACAAATATATATATATATCAATATCTACTTCTTCTTGTCTCCCTTTCTCTTTAATTTGCAGTCATGTGTTTTTCTTACATTCAACTTCAATCAATATATACTATATTTTTTCATTTTAAACATTCATTTTTTCAACTACAATATATATATCCTGTAAAACATTATTTTCTTTCTTGAATATAATTTAAAAAAAGAAAAGAAAAACAAATAAACAAAAAATGGTAGACACCCAGTCAGTCAGTAGTCACACTAGAAGCAAGTCCACAGCCTTTTCTCTAGTTCGGTTTTCCCCTTTCCTTTTCCATTTTTCTGATTCTGTTAAAAATAATAGATGTTAGTTTTCAATTTTGATCTTACAAGGAGAGAGACCTGATTAATTTTCCAGTCGGAGATGAAATCGCCTTTGTGGAAGCTGACTAGATTGGGGCTGAATAAGACCGACCCGGAGGAGGCGGAGGAGAATTCGAATCACCGCCTTAATTCGGTGCATGTTGATGGCCTTACTCAAGCTGCAAAGGTCCATCTTCATCTTATTCATACATTTTTTTTTTGTAATCAAATACTGTTTTTACTTGTTCTGCAGCATCTCTGTTTTTTTTTCTTCCTTTTCTTATATACGGTAAAAGGGGTATCATCAAGCTTCTAGGTCAATTTTATGCATATACATGATGTGTTGATTTTGAAGCCAATGCCGATGCCCCAGTCCACTCATTTCCGTCTTTTTTACCGTAATAATTGGATTTTCTATTTCTAACTGAGAAGAAATTGTATAACACTAGTTTAGATGTCAAACAAAGGAGAATTAAATGAGATTCTTCCTCGGTCTAATACTAGAAAGTAGAAACGGAGAATTAAATGAGGTTAGTAGGTGAAGAGGGAACTAGCTAACTTATCAAGTGTATATTGGCCTCTTTTTTTTTGGTATGGTATGCGTAATAGTTACTGATATTATTGCGTTACACTTGCAGGATATGAAAGACATGAGAACTTGCTATGATAGCTTACTTTCAGCAGCTGCTGCAACAGCAAATAGTGCTTATGGTATTCCTTTTTATATGATCTACTTACTAGCTCTACTTATATTCTTTAATATCTAAAACCTCATTTTGGTGGAGAACCTTCACACATGGGTTGCTGGTGATAGTTTTTAGAGGAGTGAAACTTGTTACAACTCATAAATATACTTATTGCATATGCTTACTTTTAGTCTATAAAACAACTCCTCATAAATTTTGAGCAGTGAAACTTGTTACAACTTATGCAAACTCAGTCTTCGTTGTATCATAACTGAATGAAATGTAAACAAATGATAATGCACCTTGGAGGTTATCATCTTAGGTTGCACTGACGCTGAGAGACCATTATTATACTTGCCAAAGGAAGAGTGTCTGAGAAGAGTCTGGCTGTATAAATTAGATCCCTACGTCATTTACAAAATTGTTCTTGCTTGCTTTTTATGTCATACAATAACAAATGATTTTCTCCTTTCAGAGTTTTCGGAGTCATTGCTCGAGATGGGGAATTGTCTACTGGAGAAAACTGCAATGCATGATGATGGAGAAAGTGGTAATTTAGCCGGTTCCTTATACTTATAGATTTTTCTTTAGTTATTCAAAGTCACAAATGTGAACAAAGTTGCAATTATATTTGTACGAATTTCTCCAATATATATTGGTACGTCTAATACTAATGCATGGCAATTGTTGCATAAAATGGTAAGTTTATGAGGGGTGAGTAGTGGCTTAAGTAGTTCAAAGCATATTTCTTGTTTCTTAGTTTGTGGGTTATCGTGTGATTATCCTCTAGCAGCTGTAAGGCTATATATAGCCATAGCGATAGTATGATCAAGGGATATATGTGAAGTAATCCTTTCTTCTCCGTTCTTCTAAGTCACTTCTTAATTGCTTATATTTACCTTCTGTGCAAATCCATTCATATCATATATCAAACAAAGTGTAGCCACCTTGGACCAGTTTGAGACTAAATTATTTCATTTTTCTTTGTCTGTTGGCTTTGGGTGATGAATGACAGAATACCTAATTTAACCAGCCAAGTATATTTTTTTTCTCATAGATTACTATGATAGCTCCAGTTTTTCCATCAATTTTCAAGGAATCGTTGATCCAAAGCAAAGATTTCAGTTATTATCTAGATAATCCGAAAGCAGCTATAGCTCAAAGATTTTCAGAACCATGATATATAATGTAATATCTATCAGATTTCTCTCTTTGTCCTGTTACTTTCTTGAAGCGTCTTACTTTTTCTTTGAGTCTGCATGTAACTGGAAGTTGTAAAATGTTGATTTTCTTATTTTCTATGATCGTGCAGGAGTGGCATTAACACTCCTGGGAAGGGTGCAGCTTGAACTTCAGAAATTTGTTGATAGCTATGTTAGTGTTTGTTGTCATGTCTTCATCCCTTTGTAACTAGAGAAAATGATTGTAACTTGCTACATTTTTATTTCAGCGGTCTCATATCATCATGACAATTACACACCCATCAGAATCTCTCCTAAGCGAGCTACGAAAAGTGGAGGTTTAATCACTCTTTCATTAATTTTATTGTCTTGAATTTCTGTATCCAGACCTCATACCTTCTAGTTCTTTAGCATGCTAAAAATATTATTTGGCAGTAGATGATTTCTTCAAGTTTTGAGTTATCCACAACCATGTGCATCTACTGGTTGAAAATGAAGGTGTTTACAGATATGATGTTATATTGTTATGGTACGGTATGCACTATGCGGGACCACAACAGCCTTGTTTATTTTTGGCCTGCAATGGGCTCTTCTAGTCAGTATTTACCAATAATCTTAAGTTGATCTCAAGGTCCTATAATTGTGCCTCGTAAAATTGTTTATGTGATAATTGATATTCAGGTAACTCTCTCACTGTATGAGTATTTAGGGTTATGTATGCTCTAATTATTTTTATTTTATTTTTTGGGATGTAGAAGTGAATGTTGAGTTGTCAAAGCTGGATGATAAATCAGTTAGGAGGCTAAAACATGTTTTTGGTTCTTGGCTGTGTATAGAATTTTGTTATACTTTATTTTTGTATCTATGTTGTATGTTTTTGTGTTTTGCCTTTCCTTCTCCCCTTTCCCACTGGTGAGGAACCGGTGGATGGGGGTGATAATTGGTCCGGAGAAATCACTGGCAACTTGTGGTTTGCGCAGTTGATTCTAAATAGTAGATGAATATGGTTAAGTACTCTTAATCAAGTACCTTTGTGCTCTGACAAAACAATGTCTTGGCCCCTGAATAATTTTAAGCCTGTTGTTTGATGTTGTAAATTTTATTTGACAAGCCTGGTGCGTTGTTTTTGTCCATTCATGGACATGATCTATTTTTCACTTGGCGCAGGAGATGAAATTGCAATCAGATGAAAAAAGGTACATGCTCATTCCCCCATAATTTTAACTGAATATTATTACTCGATTTATATTCTATTGACCGTGCTAAAATTACAGAGAGACGTTTGAATACATGGTGGGACAATTGAGAGAAAAAGGAAAGTCACGACATGGAAAGGGGGAGACTTTTACCTCAGAACAATTGCAGGCAGTTCGTGAAGAATATGATGAGGCTGCAAGGCTATGTGTTTTCCGCGTGGAATCATTGAAGCAAGGGCAATGCCGGAGTCTATTGACACAGGCCGCTCGTCACCATGCAGCACAGGTTTTGTTCATTTAAATTTTTTTTTGACGTCGATAACCTTTATGAGTCTTTTTTTGTTATTAGTTTAATTTTTTCTCCCATCTTCTGAAAGCAGTTAAACTTTTTTCGGAAAGGACTCCAATCTCTAGAAGCTGTTGAACCTCATATTAGAAATGTTGCAGAAAAGCAGCACATTGATTATGAGATATGCAAAGGGAATGATGAGGAAGAAGGGAATGGTGAAGGGAACAGTTATAAGACTAACGAAGATGGAGATTCAAATTTTGACTATAGTCCAAACGAGAAAGAGTCAGCCAATACTAGCACATCAAAGAACTCAATGGAGGTGAGATTTTTAATTAGTCTTTCAATTTAGAGCTTTGGTGCAAATCACTATGTTTGAAGTAGTGATTCTTAATTCCATCATTAGATCAAGTTGTTCATCTTCAAACTTTATTCTTTAATTATGGTGCATTCGGATTGAAGGATTTCAAATGACTTAAAAATGGGAAGAATTTGAAATCCACCACAATTGCTAAAAAAAACAAGTAAAAATGTTAAATGAGAGCTATGGAATTGAAATTCCTTGTCAAATGACTCAGATTTGTTATTATGGATTTGAAACTCCTCCCTCAAATTCTCCCATCCAAATGAGAACCATTATACTACTTCAGAGCAGATTCTCTTTTGAAGGAGAGCCAGGACTAGAATCACCATCTCACTCTATAAAGTGAAGGTAAATTTGGTGCTATATCATTTCGGACTTGAAAAAAATATCAAACAGCGCAACTTTCTATGATTTAAGCCACGTGAGAAACAAATCTCCGTGTACATTTGATCTTGAAGTCGGTATAAGCTACCCTTTGGTCTTTGATATAGCAAGTGAATTATGTGTAAGAACGCGAATCAACTTGTGCATTACAGCTCATATGCTATCCTGTTTGACTTAATTTGCAGCTGGATCAGTTGGGTGCACAAACATCAAGAATGAAAAATGTGGAGGTGCAACAACGTAGGGCGGGTAGTCATTCTGCTCCATTATACGCGGAGAAGTTTGACTCTGCCGAGAAAAGGACGATCTCCACACAGAAATTAAACAGACATGTGCTGCCCACTCCACATGATGGCAAGGGTTCAATAACTAGCTCTATACCCCTCCTATCAAGCACCAAAGTAGTTGGTGGAAGCTCCAAAAATCTGTGGCATTCATCACCTCTGGCTGTGGACATTGAAAAGCATTCATCTCAAATCCCAGCTGAAGAGAAGAGCAGAAACAAGCATTTCCTCCCACTGCCCCCTCCTCCTCTGATGACTGAGGGATTCGAGACTCGGAAAATCAAAACTCAATCCTTCTCCGGTCCTCTAGTCGGCAAACCATCGTCTATTGAAGTTTGTGGTTCCTGGTCTTTGAATGCTCCACCTCCTCCCCTTGTAAGTGAGCTTCATCAACTCCCTAGACCCCCAGATTATTTTGGTTCCAAGAACAAGATCATGCATACTGTCGGAGCTCCAACAGATCATATGAATTATTCTTTAAAAAAAGGTTCTCCACTTCCACTCCCACATCTAACTGTTTCTCGAAGTTTTTCCATACCCTCCTCCTCCTCCCCCTCTAGTCTTCAGAGAGGAATAGCCGACTAGCCTTTCATTCAGGCAGCAAGCTATTGAATAAGCTCATTCACCGCCGTTAACATATATATCCTTATCAGACAATAACTCACCCAACTCCAGACAGATTACAGCTCAAGTGACAACAAGTTTAAGCAGTTAGGTCGAGTTCGATTATGTTTCACTGGTTATCATATCAAGTCAAGTTACCCTATGCTTAGATTTCAGTCGTCTATATTTTTCTAAGCTTTGGTTATTTTGGTTTTGAAGGATGACAACATTTACGTACCTTGATGATACGCGATTATACTAGTGGTGTGTTTGTAATCTTCTTCTGAATCCAAATGTGAAATTATTTGTTATTTGTAATTATTGACTAGGAATGAGATTATTTGTTATTCGTCACAAGATAATGTCCCCAGCAAGCACTTCACTAAAATATCTCAGTACTAAACATAAATAAAATGGGGGTCATTGCCAATATTAACAGAAGCATTGTACAAATAGATATAGAGAAGAAATAGGTTTATTTGAACATACAAATAATCCACCACCAGTAAAACTACAAGCCATAATAAATATATAGTTCATCTAAACCAAGTTGTGACCTACTTATTAATACAAGTAGAAGTAAAAATAGCAGATGACGAGGGACTTAATGCAAACACGCAATCATCTACAATGTCCAAACAAACTCAGGTGCATCTCTCCGAGGCCCAACAAGTGTCCGATACAAGTACATCTTTTCGACTTTCTTTCCATCAACATCATCATCATCATCCATCGGCTCACCACCTTCATTATTGATGATCTCCACATTGAGCCTGGGCATCTTCTGAGCAACAGTCTTGCACCCTCCAAACGTCACTTCACAGGACGACATCCAAAGGGATCGCATTGTCTCGTACTTCCCCACGTCAGCTAGAAGTGCTACGTCACCAAAAGGGCTGTCCCTTATTTCAAGCTTCTTCAGTTTCTTGCACCCATTCAGCACATAAAGCATTCCTTTGTCGCTATTCCCAGCAAACGCAATTGAAAGCATTTCAAGATGCTCACCATACATTCCTATGTAAAGGAATACCTGGTCTGTTAGTAGTCCCGACACTGATAACCGCTTCAAACCCTTGCACGACTGCACAATTGCCCCAAAACCCTCATCCAGGGGTAGATTGGTCGCTGCGTCTGGAATTGTTGGATTCAGTGTGCACAATCGGAACCGAATAAAATTCGGACAATTCTTCGCCACCGTAATCAGTGCAGCGTTTGTCATCTGCTGGCAGAAATAGAGCAGTGAGTTGAGCTTTGGACATCCAGCAGATATTGCAACTAGTCCTTCTTCTGTCACGGCTGCAATATCAGATGGGAAAACTCTCAATTCCTGCAGCTCTTTGCATGTCGAGGCCACAACACCTAGCCCTTTATCTCCAATTGTGTCTAAAATCTGTTAAAACCAATTTATAATAACCGTTACTACATTAAAAGCCAAAAAGAAGGAAACAGTGATTATAAAGGTATAGTTTAAGTAAAACTCGAACCCATAGACGCTCTAATTTCTTGCAGTGGCAGATTAGCTTTATAAGCTCGTTACTGTAGATTCCAGGGGCGTAGCTTAAGTTCAAAGAAGTCAAGTTGGTGCAGATTGGGTATATAGAAGGCAGACTGCGTCCATTGACATCTAGAAATCCCGACAAGCTTCTAATTGATGTACACATGCGCAAAACATTCTTCAATTTGTTGCAACTCTCTGAATCTGGATCGTGAACAAAAGAGCCTGTTCCTAGATCATTCAATTGAGGTGCTCGCGCCAATATTTTGTGAAGAGCATCTAGAGGTACTGTATGATTAAGTCTTAGACTTGTAAGGTTAGGGCATCTTCCGACCAATCTTTCAAGAGCCGACACATTAACTTCACCTTTGAGGCAAGCAAAATTCAAAGAAACGAGAGAGGTGCAGGTATCGGGAAAACAGCTCAACCACTGACCCTTGCGATCATCAACTTCATTCTCCTGCAAGTCAAGCTCCCTCAGAAACCTGCATCATAATAATGGCCAACCATTAATGGAACAGCACAAACTCGAACAACTCTCCAAGAGACAAAAACAGCTTTTAACATTGAGAACCATTTCACTCATCAACCTACTCCATCTCCAATCAACAAATGAGAATCACTCACATATACTTCAAAACTTACAGCAAGCAAACATAAAAGCTATGGGAAAAAAACAATGTGATTGGTTGAGAAAGGTAGCGCATGAGCTACTAATTACCCGAGATCGTTAGACCAAATCCACAGCTATTTAGCGGCCTTGTTTCTTATTTATGATGATTTAAACTTAAAAATCCATCATATCTGATAATCCAGGAATTATGTGAGTTATATGCAAAAGCAGAAATAAAAAATGAGAGTTCAATAAAAGACCAAAACAAACCATAAAAAGGAGGAAGACAAGATATAAATGTTCATATAAAAGCTTTTCTAGAATTACAAAACCTTGTACACTTTGCCCCGAATTTAGCAAACTATAAATAGGTAGCAATCGGTTAGCAAAGCTCAATAAAACCAACAGAGTTCAACCAGGTTTAAAAATACAGAATAATTGCTTGATCCTCCTACAGCAAATATATGACAGCACAAAGGCAAAAAGACAAAATCCAAAGTATGTATACCTGCAACCGGAAGCAATGGCAGCAAGGCCATCAGTGGTGAAGCCTTCACAGCTGACCAAAACCAAAGACCTGAAAGTGGGAAAAGACTTGGCAAGCAGCTCAAGGCTCTCATCGGTCACCACCATCCGCTTTAACCTCAATTCCTCTAGATTAATACCACTCTTGGCCATGGCGTCAATCCAAGGGTACACATGCCCTCCCCAATCATGGGGCACCAAATTGAAATCGGCAAAATGGGGCTTCCCTTTCAAAGTTAAAGAGCGAAGCCTCGGAAACCTAGCAATCAAACGCTCAGGGCTGATGGAGTAGCAGTTGCCGATGAAAACCTTGTCTCGGCTGAATCTTTCGACACTGTACCAGGACTTGCACACTAAAGACACTGCGTTGCGGTCCCGATGCGAAGTGATGAAATCGAAGACGTGCTCCAATACTTCCTCCGGGATGTAATTCATCACACGATGAACGAACAATTAACTTAGGTGGATCTGAGATAAAACAGATCTGAAGATAAGAAGCTGAAAACGGAAAGTAGCGTTTGAATAAATATGAGAGTAGATCTGATGAGAGAAACATATAAAAGAAGAAAACTTCAAGTATATTTATCAATCGGAGAGAAGAATGGGGTGTTATTGGATAATAAATGAAAGGTAATTCTGAGCGAGCTCAGTCATTCCAAAATCAATCGAAAGGTTGATGATGATCCTCCCCTCTCTCTCTCTCTCTCTCTCTCTCTCTCTCTCTCTCTGTCTCTCACTCTTCCTCCCTCCTGTCAAAGCTGAATCTGCTCTTAAACATACACACAACTCTCAGTTCAGGTTTCTCACTCTTCCTCCCTCCTGTCAAAGCTGAATCTGCTCTTAAACATACACACAACTCTCAGTTCAGGTTTCAGAGAGAGAGAGAGAGAGAGAGAGAGAGAGAGGGTTTACTTGCAGCAATATAATAAAGCTAACTAACTAGGCATAATAATAGTTGAAGAAGGAAGGTTGACTAGGGTTAATAATAAGAATTGTAATCAGAGTGGGGTTAGCAAGATCTAACGGTGGGTGTGTGGGGGCTGAAGGGAGAGGGAATCTTGACCGTCGTCGTAAGATGCATCTCTTATTTCGGAAGTCGAATTCAGCATATATATGCTGATGATGATGATGATGATAATAATGATGATGATGATAAGGTTGTTGTAAAGGACGGCCCATCATCACACATACAAAACCTATACTTATATATTCCTTTATGTATATTTATATATATATACTGTAACTAACTGTATTAATATTTCTACTCTCGGGAGTGTGCGTTTCTCTGATTGGAGAGATAATTGTTGTTTCTTTTGTCAGTCATTTTCTGAAAATAACTTCCAAAATAAAAAATAAACAATTTTGAAAATACTTCCGCTGTTTTGGGCGTTCACACATTTGTGGATTGCGCCATTAAAAAACACCTCACTTTCGCTCCTAAACAATGTAAAATCGACCAATAAAATAAATGACAAAGTTGTTATTGAAAATTAAAAAAATTAAACTAATTCTTACAGGTCATAAAATGATTCGACGACAAGGATTGGTTTTAGTCCAAGATGTTAGGACAATCAATTGCATCTCGTAATGGCAAAATAAAGCTTCACGGGGCACACCCATACTCCGTACATGTTTGAGCTTCTTCTTCGCCTATAATCAGATTACTGGAGCTCATGAATATGAGATTTGAAATGTGCACTAACCAATTATGTTTCTTAAACATCAAAAATCGCAAATTGTTTGTTGGTTCTTTGTACCGAAACAAACTAGGGATTCGCGATTTGCATTTTTTAGGGTTTTGCATTCAACATCCAAATGAAACATGTTATATATTAGGGATTATTTCACAAAAGTCCCTCATTAAACAAGTCCAGTTACATTAGATCCAAAAAAATTCTCAATTTTAAGATAAATCCAAAACATATTTTATTAATTAAAAAAAGTTAAGTTTCACCATTATACCCTTTAATTATTTATTCAACCCTAATTTTATTGCGTACAATAATCACCCCCATTTACTCAAAAATAAAAAATAAAAATCACGGGAAGAACAGAGAGTGAAGAGGAAAGACATCAGAGAAGCAGAATGTTCGGCCCAAGGGGTTGCGTTTTCTCAGATACCAGCACACTCAGCACAAATGGTAGCACCCACCACCACCACGGAGGTTTTTTTCTCTTACAATCTTTTTCCTCGTTCTGTTTTTTTTTTTTTTTTTTTTTTTTTGTTTTTTTTTTTACCACAAATTCGTTCTGATTTTCAGCTTTTTTGTTTGGGCACTGTTATCTGAAAAAAAAACCTACTGTTTAATTTTTGTTCTCCCAAACATGCTTTGAAGAATCATCGGCGGTATTACTTACAAATTGCATGAATAGCAGAGCGATTTCATCTCGTAGTTCTTGGTTTGGATAATTGGAATGCAACCATAATTTCAGATAAACCCAGAAAGCCCCAACCAATGATGAATTACCGCAACATGGGTGATGTTTCGAGTTCCGATTCCGAAGAGGGCACGAGTACGAGCACCGACGGCACGACGATGGAAAGAATCGTCGAAAAATTGAAGAAGTTCGGCTATAAAGACGATATCGATGACGAGAGTGAGGGTACAAAGGGAGTGATCGAAAAGGGGTCGATTGAGGACATATTACATGTTGATGAATGAATATTCCCGAATACACGAGGCTGGTTTTCGGAGAAATCCCCGTTCGGAGACGAGAATGTGAACTTCCCTTGGGAGAAGAAAAGAGCAGCCAATGAAGAGAGAGAGGTAGTGTTGACAGTCGAAAGAGCCGTAGTTTGGCTGAGTCGACTCTTAACCCATAGCGTCTCTCTCCTTTCTCCTCTCTCCCTCTTTTCTCCACAACCCACTCTCACATCCACACCCACATCCTCGCAGCCCCACCGGACGACCACATCCACACCCTCGCGGATTTTTATATTGGTTTTCAATATTTTTACATAAACCACTATAAAAATCTGTATAAATAATTATAGTGGTTTTAAATCATTTTTGTACAAATTTTTATATAACTGTATATACATAGTGGTTTTTATGTTGACATAGTTGCTATACAGAGTGGTTTTCAAGCTTACATAATTGTTATACATAGTGGTTTTCATGTTATATAATTGTTATACATAGTGGTTTTCATGTTTATATAGCTGTTTATACAGAGTGGTTTTTATGTTTATATAAAGTGGTTTTTATTTAAAAAAAATGGAAATAAAAAATATATAAATAAACCATTTTCAAAAAAAATCAAAATTAAGAAAAAAGAAAAACCATGAAAAAACGAAAATAAAAATAAAACCATTTTTTAAAATTAAAATAAAAAACATGAAAAATATAAATAAGAAAAAGAATAATTTAAAATAAACAACCGAAAAAAAAAATTATATAATTACAAAATTTTATTTTAAATGGAAATAAAGAAAACCATTAAACAAAATAAAAAAGAAAAGGAAAAAAAACTGAATCAACGTGAAGAGGGGAATAATTTTAGGAGAAGATTTGGGTGTAGATTATAGGTGTAATTTTTTTTAAATTAAATAGTTATACTAATTAATAATTAGTGGGGGCATATATGGTTTTTAAGGCCCATTTGATTTATCTCAAATATCATTTATAAATAATGAATTTATCAAGAATTAAAATTCTAATGAAGGGTGTTTGGCATATTGCCCCTATATATTATGGGAAACTTGGCGTAAATTGGTTTTTTCAATTGAAATTGCTTAAAATAGTCGAACAAAACGAAAGATTGATACAAACATGGGCATGTTTGTAGCTTGTCCATGCAATAGACCAAAAATGAAATCCGAATGCTTGTTTCCAATCTAAACAATGTAATCCAAGCCAGATAAAAGAAAAACCCCATTCCATCCTAACCGAGAAACCAAAATAGCCTATAGTGGCTATTAAAGAAGATGATTGGAGGAGTAAACTAATGAAAATTGGACCAAAATATATGTCTACTTTAGAACACAATTATATTCACTAAAAGAAGCTGCTGCAGCTAAAACAAATGAAGCCAAGAAAACAAACTACAATGATTATCACACTTGGTTCCTAATAAAACACCCCATTAGTATTGATCTTCCCAGTATGTTTTTCATTTTAAATATGTAACCGACGCCTGTTTCTAAAATAAATAAATAAAAGATTGCCAAAAATGTTAATCTTCTTGGATTTTAACTTCTGCTATTAGCTTACGTGATCTTTGCGAGTGTGACCTTAAAATTTTACGCGCAGCTAGTGAAAAAGAACTACTTTACGGCAGTGGGAAGATACATATCGTTGTCTACGAGCTCAGTCCTTAAAGAAGAAAAGGCGAGAAGAAAGGCAAGAAGAAAGATCTAAACCTTGTGTCACCACAAAGCAGAAAACAGAACCATACAAAATAAATATACAACAAGAAGCATAGACAAGAAAGGCAACAACATGAGCACGTTGAAGGAAATACGCAAACCTCAATCTTCAGAAATAATAATAAACTTAATGTGTTTCAACATCTGCCCATTATTTTCATAGTCTGGAGGGGCTTCACAATCCTAAATTCGGAACACTGCAGTAACTGCTCTAACAAAAAAAATGCCGCAATGGTTGTAGTATGTCAGAGAATTGATCTCTCCAAAATTCAAATTAACCAATAATATGAAAAAACAATGACAGTTTTTAAACACTGTCTGCTATGATGTTAGCCAAACATCAGCTATTCTATGTTTATTGCCCTTTGGGAGAAGGGCCTATCTCAATTTGTTTACTCCAACAGGTTTTGCAGTTAACTCTACTCCTTTGCGGGTTCAATGGCAACAGGAGCAACACCACCAGTTGTTGGCCTGGAAACAAGAACAACTTAGCAAGTCAAATTCAAGAAAACAATCAAACACCTACTGCTCCACAGACATCACATAGAAGGTAAAGGTCAGAACAACTACGCAGAGAAGCTAAGGGAGGCAAAGTATTATTTGTCAAAAGAAATGACAGAGAAAACTTACAGCCCAATAGAAACTTTGAAAGCATCATAGAGACCCCACTGGGCTCCCGTCAGAGTTCCAATCATAACAATACGAAGAGGCAGTCCTCGGGTAAATAGACCCAATAGTCCAATCTTCTTTACAGCCTGAGGAGATTTAAAACAGGAGCAACACAATAGAAAGAAAACTCAAAATAAGACCGTATGTATGTCAGGGATAAATTGAAGAACAAAATAAGAAAACAGAAATCAAGGTGACAAACACAGACTACAAGGAGAACACTTACATCACCAACAGTAGCGCCTTTGGCATTGTTAAGGAAAGAGACAAGGTTATCAGCCGGATGTGATACAATAGCACACAAGACACCAGCTATATATCCACCAGCGAAACTAACACCAAGCTGCAGGGGCTTGCTGCAGTCATTTTTAGGTGTCGGGATCGCATGCTTGTAAATGAGCTCCACAATAGTCTCAAATGATGCAAATTTCATCATTGTGTCTGCAAGTAAAACCATACCAAGTTGTGGTGATGTAAGCCATATGAATTTAGAGCATAAGCAAAAGAGATCTTGAATTAGCATTTTCAATGAAAAATAAAAGAGAGTAGAATTCACAATACGTCAAGGGAATCAGCATAGCAGTTACCTAGCATGAGGAACAAAGAGACAGTAATTTCACGAGGAATAACAGGCAGCTTGATTATATGACCACCGAAAGACATGACAACATACAATAGCCTAAAAATCAATTATGGTAAGCACAAAGCACTACCAATACATGGCAGTATAAACCAATTTCTTCAGTTCTGCCCTAGTACTAAATATCTCATGTGACCAAATATTGTGAACTACCAACTTTTCTTCTCCTGTATTAAAAAGATTGCTGTGATGATATACAACAGGTCAATTGTCCATTAAATTAGACTATAATCCAACTATTCAGTGCACAGATAAACCACAACTCATGGCAACCAGGTTCAAGAGGGAAACCGGTTTTGTGTTTCAGATGAAAGATAGCAGACAGGGTCTGGTATATAAGCAGCATTGAGAGCATTGAATGAAATCTATAAAATGACAATTTGACATAATTCAAGAAAATAGTTTATTCTTCTTTATGGAACAAATATTATTTCTAGTAGAAACACCCACCAAATAGAAGCTCCTACAATCACCAGTACAGTCAGTCATACAAAGATGGTGTTTGCAAATGCTTATGTAAAAGTAGAAGTTGGTGTGAGTCAAGGTGGAAATAATTGCCTGTTTCTGAAAGTTGGGGGTGTTCGCAAATGGCATTAAAAATCAACTGTGATTTGAAAGTGTTGATGCGTTGGCAAAATAAACTTTAAGTTGCAGCTTGTTTCGGTAAATTGACTTAAACGTTCTTAAAACTCTTAAAAACTGGATTGAGATATTTTGAAATTTTAAGAACAAAAAAAGCTGGTGCAAAGATGTTCTGAAATTATGTCTTAAAGCAGCTCATTATAACAGAAGCAAAAGCAAAAATTGCATTTCCAAACACTTAAAAAAACTGACTAAGAGCCAAAAAATGCTCATAATCACTTTTGAAAAGCTTTTGCAGACACCACCAAAGTGTTACTCTGATATAGTCTTCCAGTGACCAAATTATGAAAAGAACGGGAGAAAAATATAAATATGAAACAATGCCTAAACTTACATGGAATCTGACGACCCCAAAGAGGAACTAGGCCCTTGTACAACCTGCAAACATACAAAAACTATTACCCCTACTCAACTTCAGTTTCATGCCACGTTAGATTAACATGAAAGAAAACATACCCAAGAGCCCCTTCAGATCTGACAAACTTGGGAAGTCCATCAGACAATCCTCTAGCAAAACCAGGCTGAGTCTGAACTCGAACCTTCACTGCTTCAAAGGGGCAAAGAGCAATGTCTGCAATCACCTCCGCAGATGCAGAACCAGCAAGATAGATTACAGTTTTGTATTTAGATGCATTTTCTGGTCCAGCAAGGTCTGAATAGTACTTCTTGAAGAATTCATAGAATCCAAACTTGCAGGCACCCTGAGCACTGTAACCAAGCAGAGTAGGTACCCATCCTCTGAAGAAACCTTTCACTCCCTGCTCCTTGAGTAAAACTCCAAACCCTGAAGAGATGCTCTTGTACTTTGCTGGATCAATCTGACATGGTAAACGAAAAGAATCATTTCATGCTACCTCGCTTTGGACCAGACATGTATAATACAATCAGAAAATAACCACGTATGCACCATCCCCCAAACCCAATCCCTCGATCCCTGAGAGGGGCACCTCTTTTCCTTATGGTGCCACCAGCCAAAGGAATGTTATTGTAGAATAATAAAACAATAAGGGACCCAATCCATTAAAACCATTGGACCAAATAAAATCCATTAAAAGCTATTCAACTGTAACAGTACAATACAAGTAGAAACTGTAGTGTGTAAAAATAATCAAAAGATGTACATATTGAGGATTGTAGGGCATATAATTATCAGAGACCAGAGAGCAACTAGCATTAAATCATCCATTCATCACAAAGCAGAGAAATAGACTGAAAACAAGTATCTGAAACATGCATTGGCACCCTCACTCCCGTCCATCTCGACAAAACTAACTTGCACTCTCTTTATATCATGAAACAGTTAACTAAACTCTTGATACGTTTCCAGCACATACATACACACACTGGGGGAATATTGTGCAGCTTTTCTTCATATCAAATTAAAAAAAAAAAAATAGCAACCTACAATTGTTTTATGTTAATTAATCATAACCTCGCATGGAGAAAACATGATTTAATTTATACCACCTACGAAGGTAAATCAGAAACACAATATGAGTAATAACAAAAAAATACAGAGTATTAGAAACGGGAATAGCAGATCTAATCGAATCCAGAGACGAGTTCAACAGATCACAACCATAGTGCTAGGAATTAGAACACAAAGAAAAAGACCACGAGATCTGTTAACAACAAAATCTATCAAGGCAAATAAAATAAAAAAAAAGGAGAAATGAATAGATCTGGACCTGCATATTACATTTGACGAGATCAAGAGGGGTGACAGTCATATGAGTAAGACCGCAACTCAAAATTCCACCAACGGAACACGCAGCGTAGTACTGAGGTGAGAACATCTCAATCTTCCCTGGCTCGCTTGGTGCCGGAATAACGAAGCTCTTTCTGGATGCCGATGGCGATGGTGTGACGTTGATGTCGGAATTTCCGGTCATTTTATCGAGTGCTAGGGTTTTGGAAGTGAAAGAGGTGGAGTAAAGGAAGCTGGGGATGAGAGACTGGCGGTCGGAGGAGAGAGCCATGTCGGAAAAGAGGAGCGGCTGAGATAAAGAGGAGACGATTGACGGGGAATCAAATCTTTCTTCTAAAGTCCCAACTCCGCAGCTCGTCTTTTCCAACAGAAGAAATCAAAATGGGGCTACATTACTGGTGAAACCCTTTCTTTATAAGGAGAAGACAAATGCAGGAATTTACCAAAATGCACTTGTCGTCTAACGTATCAGTTACTGCAAGGGTCGCGATAAATAAATTAGGGTGACGGTGAACAATGAATACCATTTCCGGCAGGTCTAAATAAAAAAAGAAACAAAATATTTTAGCACTATTGTTATTACTGAATAAATCATAATAAAATGTATTTTTTAGAAATTTCATTTCTCCTTGTATAAGACCATATATGAATACCCTTTTACAAAATAAAACTGTACAACAAAGTTAGACAATATATGAATATGTTTTACAATTATACCCTTGAAGTTGTAAGGATAAAATTGAAATATTTGAATGAATATTATTAGAATTTAAAATACGATGTTAGAATTTGATCGTAAGGATGAAATTCTTATACATTGATGTACTTATAATATTGCAGAGACATTAAATTTTAGTTATGTAATAGAAAATTATTTTATAATTTAGGGTTGAAGTAAATGGGCAGCAACCATGATTCATTTGTCAAACAAAATAATAGTGTAATAAATAAACAAATTATAATAATGTCATTTAAAGTGGGACTAAAAATATTGAATAAGTCAATTGTGCCCTTAAATTCTAATAAATAAAGTAATAAACCCTTGAATAGATAGGGAAAGATGAAAAACGTTTTTGCCCCTTGAATAGGCAATAGCATCTTATTTTATTAATTATTATATATATATATATTACACCAAAGGAGGTCGAGTGAGTCTCCCCGACTAACACTCTCATCGCTTTCCCCAAGCGCCGCCACTCCCCGCCGCCCTTACTACCGCAGCCCCCATTTCCCATTTTTCTTTTCTGGGCAACCGATTCATTTTCAAGTAAGATTCATTTTCCTTTTCTTTAATTCTCCTTTTCTCTATAGATAAACTGAATGTCGTTGTTTTCAATTCGTATGCTAACGAAATGTACGAATGAAATTGTAATTGATAATCATTGTTAATTGTAATCATTGTTGCAGTTTGCTTTCTCTTCCAAGAAAGAAATTACAAACTGTTCATTCATCTATTAAACGAGATCTCATGTTTGTTAAATTTGCAGGTTGGTTGGTTGGTTGGCTTGCTTACTTGAATTCCTTTCCGGGGGCTGTGTGGGTGGAAAGAGTTGCACATTTGTCTGTCTAAGCACTTCCTGGCATAAATTCTTCTAGTTCATTTATTAGTCGAAATTTCTTCATTAGTGGGAGATCAATTAATTTGTTTACTAAAATATCATTCTTTCATCTTAATTTAATTTACTATGGCGGCACCATTGTACTTATCTGGAGTGAAAACTCTGGACATGTCTTTCTCCAAGAGCACTTGCTGCTGTCAACCTATTCCGAGGCAGCAGCATCTTCATTTTGCCGTATCCCTGCCTTCAGTCATTGGTCCGTGTTTGCCGCTGAATGGCTTATCCCAAACTCTAGCGCTGAGACTCAGATGTGCGGCTAGCAAGGTTGATGTACTTGAAATGAATGATACTCTAAGCCAAGATTCCGACCAAAGTGCCAAGGAGTTGACATGTGTCATGAAGTTTGGTGGTTCATCTGTTGCTTCTGCAGATAGAATGAGAGAAGTGGCTGACCTCATTCTCGGCTTCCCAGAAGAGAGGCCGGTCATTGTTCTTTCTGCCATGGGGAAAACTACCAACAAGCTCTTACTGGTACTTTGTTTACTGTGCTTTGTCTTAATTCTTCTTTTCCATAACTCGTTTTCTGGTAACATTTTGAGATGGAGGTTGCTGACATGTGTACCAGGCTGGAGAAAAGGCTGTCAGTTGTGGTGTTTCAAATATCTCTGATCTTGAAGAATTGGCCTTCATCAAAGAATTGCATTTGAGGTTACTGCGTGTTATATTTGCATTTCTCCATCCTTCTAATCTCTTTCATGGGAATATATATATCTGAATGAGTTCTGCTTTGCTATACTCAGGACTGCAGAGGAGCTTGGTGTAGATAAATCGATTATATCTAGTGAGCAACACTTCCACTGAAAAATGAATTTTATGCTTTAGTTAAGTTTTATTTAGATGCTGGTTGATGGATGATTTGGTCTCTAGAAAGGTTAATTTGTTAAACCAGTGTTTTTCGCTTGTTCTTAGTCATTTTAAGCTCATCGACTTTCATTTTGCATGTGCATGTGCTTTTGCTGTTTTATTTGATATGTTTGCTACATTGCAATACATTATCCATCCCATGTATGATTACCATGGACAAATACTGCTTTCTCTGCCATTTGATATAAAACCAGTCTGGATAAGGCTGCCATCTTTGGTGGTTTGCTGAAGTATTTTGTTTTGTAACTCCTGTTAATTATCAGTTTCTTCTTTTTTTTTTTTCTTTCCCCTTTTTATGGTTGCACTTTTTTTTTTTTCTAAACAACTATGCAGAACACCTCTCTGAGTTGGAACAACTTCTGAACGGAATTGCTATGATGAAAGAGATGACTCCAAGAACAAAGGACTACCTAGTCTCTTTTGGGGAGTGCATGTCTACAAGGATTTTTGCTGCCTATTTAAATGAAATTGGTGTAAAAGCTCGCCAAGTATGTTTTCTTATTATATTATTTAACAGATGGTACACATGACAAGTTAGGTCGTATGTCTTATTTTCAAACTCGTTTTTCTGATTATATAATGCTCGTAAAACTGAAATAGTGTATGTTTGACCTAAATTAGAGGAAATGTCCATTTTGTCTTCCAATTTTTTAAAACAAATCCATCTTAAACCTATATCTTTGATTTTCAATCTTGTATATACTCTAATATATCATTATCAATGTCTACATCATTTCGATTCAAATGATTTTAGTGGGTCCATTTACATGGTTTGATTGACTGCCATATGTCTTTTATTTAATCTTGGTGAATGGCATGCGCAATTACAGAATCACATGAGTAAAAAAAATCTTTTACTTTTTGTGTATGGTAAAAGTGAGACATATACAATATAAGCTGATTGATCTTGGTGGATTTTGATTGTTTTCTTTCCCATCAGCTTCTTGTTTTTTCCTTTAGCCGCCAAGTGAAAGGTATCATCCTGCATTGTTAAAATATTGGATATATTGACCTCATCCCAGTTATTTATTTATTATTATTATTGTTATTATTTTCACCCCTTCATGTGAAGTATATGTTAAAAAAAAAACTAAAAAAGCTAAATAATAAGTATATTGGAGCTGCATTGAGTTCTTGTTGCCATCCACTTATCAGATGCTGAATAAAGAAAATAGCTAAAATGCATTGGCATTTCTGGAGGATAAGATCCTAGAATGCAATAGATCTTTCTTTACTCCAAATCCCTGTTAGGCTTAGTCTGAGTGGAATTTGTTTGTTATTTTATTTTGCTGGATTTGCTAACTCCTTCCAGTGAGAGTACCTTTAAGCATAACATATTTGTGAATAACAGCAATATTTTGAATCCTTTGCAGTATGATGCCTTCGACATAGGTTTCATAACCACTGATGATTTTACAAATGCGGATATTTTGGAAGCAACCTATCCGGCTGTTGCGAAGAGATTGCACGGAGATTGGATTAGCGATCCTGCTATTCCTATTGTGACTGGCTTCCTTGGAAAGGTTGCTCCAACATTCATGATTCCCATGCACATTTCTTCACAATGCAATTCCCATATACGTAATCATATGAACTATGACGATATCTTGACTTAATCTCATTCTGCTATAGGGTTGGAGAACTTGTGCAGTGACCACACTGGGAAGGGGCGGTAGTGATTTGACTGCCACAACAATTGGTAAAGCATTGGGGTTAAGAGAAATTCAGGTCAGCCATCATCGGCCATTGCTGATCTTTATCTTCTGGCTCTGTAATTTCGTTTTGTGTCCTCTTCTATTTGGCACTATATGTTGCACATATTTATAACTGCAACACGCACAAATACTTACGATATATATACAGTTTCTGGAAGAACCCGAAGCACAAAGTACTGACCATTTAACTATTCTATCCTTCATAGGTGTGGAAAGATGTGGATGGTGTTTTGACGTGTGATCCTAATATATACCCTCGTGCAGCGCCAGTGCCCTATTTAACTTTTGATGAGGCAGCTGAACTTGCTTACTTTGGTGCTCAGGTTTCATACGCCATTTTATAAAATATTTTTGTACTATCTGCATTATAAAGTCGGCTTTTATGTTGCATGATTTCCAAAATAGAAAAGGATGAACAAATTGTTTGAGGTCGTGGTGGGCGTTGTCTAAATATCCAGATGGACAAACTTCTTTTAATGATAGGATTACATGTTGAAATTAGATTTGAAAGGATGTTGCACATTGATCAAACTATTCAAATATTGTTGTTATCACACTTGCATTTCCAAATAATTAAGATAATATTCGGGTACTACCATATGGAGAAATGCTGCTTGAGAGGTTATTGACTGAAGAACTGAGATATATTCATTTACCAAGAATCTGTTTCTTTGGGTTGAAAGGTCCTCCATCCACAGTCCATGAGACCTGCTAGGGAGGGCGACATTCCTGTGCGCGTGAAGAACTCTTATAACCCAAAAGCTCCTGGGACCCTTATTACCCGAAGAAGAGATATGAGCGAGGTAAGTTGCATAATTGTGTCCAGAAACTAGGAAAATAAATGGTCATAAGAAATGTCGAGGACTTATTTTGTCTTCTTTCTAATTCCAGGCGATCCTAACTAGCATTGTCTTGAAACGGAATGTCACAATGTTGGATATCGCTAGCACTAGAATGCTTGGTCAATTTGGTTTTCTTGCTAAGGTGAAGAGATGAAGATAAACATACATATACAATGGACCTATTTTCTGATGCAATCCGGTTGATATTCTTTCAGGTATTTTCAACGTTTGAGGATTTAGGCATATCGGTGGATGTTGTTGCAACTAGCGAAGTGAGTATTTCCTTGACGTTGGACCCTTCCAAGCTCTGGAGTAGAGAACTGATCCAGCAGGCAAGTGTATGATATCAGCCTTCTCATGTAGCCATTGTAGATTTGCTTTCACTTTCTTTGTATTTCTCCCCCTATGTCCAGGCACATGCTTTTTGTTTAATGTAGTATTCTCTAGATTCGTCTTTTCGGAATCTAAGGCTTGCTTCTAACTTGTTGATCAGGAACTAGATCATGTGGTGGAAGAACTAGAAAAAATTGCAGTAGTAAATCTTCTCCAGCACAGATCTATAATTTCTCTGATTGGAAATGTTCAGAGATCCTCACTCATTCTAGAAAAGGTTTTGCCTTGTGATAATTATGTCATCTCATATGTACTTGTCAATGTTTATTTGTTGAATACAATAATGAATGAATATGTGTTTGTTTTGGAATGAAAATGTGGGTGGCAGGCATTCCATGTGCTTCGGGCAAATGGTGTGAATGTTCAAATGATATCGCAGGGAGCTTCAAAGGTGAATATATCGTTGATAGTGAATGACAGCGAAGCAGAACAATGCGTTAGGGCTCTTCACTTTGCTTTCTTTGAGAGCGATCTATCATCTGAACTAGTTCCAGCTACTACTACTACTAAATATGCATAAAGAATCATCTCATGGATATGCATGCTAACATACCACCTGGGTTGTGTTGTAGGGTATTTTTTTTTTTATTTTTTTTGTCTGCAGTTGGTTTTCATTAGTAATGTAAGACACGAGAAAAACTATTTTCTACTCTTAATTATTCTTTCCGATTTTGTAACTCTTATATAACATGCCAAAGTGTAGCAATGAGAATGGTTATTATTATTACTGAAACGCTATTCATAGTGCAACTTTTACCGCCTTGCAGTGCGATTTATTTCATTTGTAACTTTCCTTAAAAAAACTCAAATTCGCCCGCTATTTCGTGTGTTATATTACGAAATTCACTCAATAATTTCGTGTATTTTACACGAAATGTACGTTTTTATTGTTATAGAACATGAAGGTCGAAACTGTTGGATTGAAAATATTCTCCTCTTTCGTGACATGAAACACGAAATTACACATTATATTTCGTGGAGTTTTCCACAAAATTACACCTTATAATTCGTGAATTTTTTCACGAAATATAAGGTAATGTTTCGTAAAATTTAGTACGAAATCACTAATTGATTTGTTTTCTAATTTAACCAATTTATTTCAGACACTCAAATAAATAAAATACATTAACATAAAATATTCTTAAACTCAGTAAAAAAATAAATTGACCTAAAAATTCAAATACAAATACAAATTGAACTAAAATCCAAATACAACTACAAATTGAACTACCGACCATACTTTAATTGTTCGTCAAGTAAAAAAACAAATTGACCTAAACATTCAAATACAAATACAAATTGAACTAAAATTCAAATACAACTACAAATTGATCTAAAATTCAAATACAAATACAAATTGAACTAAAATTCAAATACAACAACAAATTGAATTACTGAACTTTAATTGTTCGTACATGAGTAATCGGAGTTTGAACATTTTGAGTAAGTGCCTCAGGTTTTTAGCTCTATGATGTACCCGTGACGGATGGATAGGTGGTAGAGGACTATTCGCTACCAAATTAACAAACATGAAATGATTGTTGTGCAATGTCACAACAATCATACATGATAAGTGACCACTGCCAAACATACAAAGGTAAGTCATACTCCCTACTTCGGTCAAAAGTAACCTAATGCACTGTATTTGGTAGCAAAGTCCAACCCCATTTCATTCATGTCCATCCAATAAGCTTGTGGACAAGGCCCTGAGGTCTAGTCACACTTGCGTATGACCTCAACGTATCCAGTACTGCCAAACATCGTCGTGTAGACATTAACATGCTCGTATAACTCCATAAGCAACTCCCCTCTCACTTGCGGCCATCTTTCTTAATCCCCGTACACGGCTTGAGCAACGCACCCGTACCCACAGTTGCCATCCGTCATCACGTTAACATAATCTTGAATAAGACGGACCATAAATTCGGGCACAAAAGAATAAAAGTCGATTCCTTCATGTGCAGGTATTGTAGGGGCAACATATTCTTGTGTGGGAATACGAGAACCACGACCTTTCATCTTCGATTGAGGCGTTCCATCAGTGCTTCTCTCAACCTTTGCTTTAGGAATTTTTGCACAAGATGAGGTTTGGCGACCCTTGGAACCACAAGACGACTTAATTGTCTCCTCATCAATATGATACTGCCATCCGGAAGGGTCTCTTTGTCGAGTTATTCTTTGGTCGTCCTTTGGTCTTAACAAATGATGGCTCGGACAGATGCGACGTAGACGGATAAACGATGCCACACAATGAGGCCACATCATTTATCTTACTCGTGTAATTCATCTTCTTCAAATTGCATTTCAGGTCATCAATCTGTCTATCCACAATTGCCTCGCGGTTTACTTGATACTCAGGTAGTTCCAAAGGCTCAACTGCCATGGTACTCCAGAATGGATGCAAATCTGAAATGACGAATGTGTCATTATCTTCCATTTTATGAATAATTTTGCACGCGCAAGGGAGCCCATGAGTATTCCAAAAATAGTGAGTGCAAATACTCGGATCTTGCATCGTCGGTGACTCCATCTCTTGATCCAATTTCTCTAATGCCAGATGAGTAACATAACAAATCAAACCCTGAAAACACGGCCATGCTGCAATATGATTCCTTAACAAATAATGAAAAATCGCACTTCAGCTGACTAATTTGGATATAAACTTGGTCCCGAAGTTTGCCTTGCAAGTTATCTAGACCTCCGGTCGAAGTATTTAACTAACTTTTCGCAGAAGAATGAACACTCTCCACCCTATCCGATTACAACAACAATCAAAGTACACAACGACAATCAAATTACAAAGTAAATATTTTTTTTTATATAATATATTTTATTATTTAAATAACTAAAACATGTAATACCTGTTGGTGCTCATGTTGCCAAAATGATACACATTGCGAGTATAGGCTCGAACAAACTTCTTTTTGTATATCAACCACGTATCATTCAAATACTGTATCAGTCTAGGATATCGTGCATACCGTCCAATAATTTCATTGTAATTGTAATGATACTCTTTTTTGGTTTCTGATTTCACCAGCTTAGCACACAACAATCGTTGGAATATTAGATCTTGGTCTTTGTTGACTCATATAAATTCCGTCGCATTTGCCTCAACATTTTTGTTTATATGGAATATACACAATGTATGATACGAAACTGGAAATACATTTGGCAGTGCTTTCAAAAGACCCAACTCCCTGCCTGTCAAGATCGCATCAGGTTTGACACTATCTAGCAACTCTCTCAAATAATTCAAAGTCCACTCGTAGGTGTCTGCATCTTCATGCGACATAAATGCAACAACAATAGTAAAATTCCTCCAAACTGGAGTTATCCCCATTATTTCCAAAAGAGGCATTCCATACCTACAACAATGTTGTTTTTACATATTTAAACAATACTACATTAAAACACAACAATCATAATTTAAACAATCGTAATTTTTACTTACTTATTGGTTTTATATGTGCAGTCCATCAATATAACATACGGGAACAGCCGTAGTAACTTAATAGATTCGGGACATGCAAACATAACATCTGTTATTGTGTTGCTCGTTTCACTATCGACGCGATACCAATATCGATACTCGTCTTGATGAAAGTTATGCATCATAAACTGAATAACAGTCATGCCCTCCATTTTCTCAGATTTAATCTTGGCCAACTCATTGTAAACATGCTTCATAGAGGATGTATCGTCGGATCATCTTTCCTCAATCTATTCATGATTAGCATTGACTTCACGTGAGAATTACTCAATTCTTTAATTCTTGCTTTCTGTTGTGGAGTTATACGACTAGTCGTACCATGTCCGTGAGGAAACAAAGCCGGAGGATGAGTATGCCTCCCATCGCTGACAGTCAACCGCCATAATTCATCAAACCTTGATTTTTTACCAATCAATTTGAACGGACAACCACATTTTTTTGTTCCAGTGTTTCTAGGATCTTCCACATCGATATTCGTTTGTCGGCCATGTCCGTATTTGTCACACGTGAAGTACTGAGCATTCTCCCTTTTAGACTGACAAATCAAACGGTGACAATGACTAACTGCAGTTGCTTTAGCCCAGTTGATTAATTCTTCCCTACTATCGAACAAAATATCAACTTGGAAAAAGTGAGAGAAATCTTCATATTCGTTTCGCTCCAAAACCGAGGGATCAAAATTGTCATCATATGGCTGCGTAAAAAAAAAAGTTAGATACTTGCACAAAAAAATAAAAAATAACTAGGGTTTTCGTGTAGTAATGTACGAAACTCATAAAAAAAAACAGTTTACTGGTTTTTCGTGTGGTTTTACACGAAATAATAGTTATAATTTCGTAGTGTTTTGTACCATATTACTGGAAAACACGAATATGATGTTAATTTCGTTTAAAACACCACGAAACGACTTGAATAATTTCGTGATATTCTACACGAAACGACTGAAAATCTAAAAAAATCAGACAAAAACGTAATTTTTTACCTCATTTACGGGATCGATGTTGGCCGTCTTGACAATTGTTGGGTTTTAACTGATTGTAACGAAAACAAATCACAATCTACAAAAGTCGGTATATTTGGAGGTTGAGAGGATTTCGAAAAAGGTTAAGGGTTTCTTGACAAATGAATTATTTAGCACTGTAACTGAAAAAAAATGCACTATGAATAGTAAACCCCTTATTAATAAGGTCACACTGCAAGAGAAGCACCACACATTGTGATTTCACTCTAATTATTCTGCAGCCCTTCATTTTTGGGACTATGCTGAGCTGACTATAGATTATATAATATTCCCTACAACAGACTTTTTTATATAAGATATTTCACAATTTTGGTTAAAATATTTGAAATATCATTAATTCTTAATTTAACCGACATTTAAGATATAAAAATAAGATTTTTGAATTTTACGAGGCATTAATATGTATGGTTGGGTTCTAAATAGATGAAGGAAAAAATGAATTAATAATTGAAGGTGGCCCGGCCCATTAATAATATTGGCCCATTGACGAGTCCCTTATAAACCATTTCCCCTTATTAATTCAGACCTAGAAACGCAGTCGTCTTTCTACACAGTACCGGCGCAGAAATAACAACAATGGCTTGCACAATCGATTTCCGGAATCTGGACGAGGGATTCGGAGGAAAAACCTTCAAGCGAAAGAGATCGGAACAAGAAGCAGAGAAGCTACAACTTCTGAATCCGCAGGATGAGTCGATGGATGTGGATATGGATCTTGTTCCTCCTCCATCGAAGAGGCAAGCAGTTGAGTCATCGTCGTCATTGACGTACGATGGGGTAATAGCGGGGAGAGTGTCGGGGAGGAATTGGAAGGAAGTGAGGACGCGCAGAGCATCTTCTGTTCATGTGAGTAAGAAAGGAACGACGGCGGAGCAGAGGGCTAAAGAGAAGGAGATAAAGAAGGCATACAAAGGGAGGATGAATGAGCTCAAGGAGGAGATACGTCACAACAAGCAGGAGAAGAGGAGGCGCCGTGAGGAGAATGAGAAGAAGAAGCAGGAGAATATTCTAAGGTCTGGTACTAAGCTTCAGAAGATCACCAATCCCAAAACTCTTAAGAAGATTTCTAAATCCAAGCAGAGGAAGCTTCTCAAGGTTGTCCCTGATAATCATCTCCTCAACAACAACAACAACAACAACAAGATGATCTAGTTTTTTTTTTTTTTAATTATGTTTTGTTGTCGTGTATTTTTCTTTTTCTTTCTGGTGGTTGACAACAAACAGTCTATGATATCTGAGCAAAATGAATGATTGATTGCTGGTAATTGTGTGATTTTTGGCATTTCCGTTTATTGCAACTGTTTAAACTTTTGTAGGAATTATTTGAGCTTTGTCTCAAGTAATAAGTAGTATTAGATTGTTGTTTAAAGAGGCTAAAGCAACATAACATTGCATATATATCAACTGTAAAAACCCCATCATATGTATGTATGAGTATAATTACCAAGAAAAAACCCTAACATACATTTGCCACAACAAGACTTCTCCATGAATAGTACAAAGCTTTATTATTGAGATCAATTCCTATGAGTTAATTAAGACAAGGAATCACGCATACTAACTAACTAATCATCCACTTTTTAAGACGAACGAACACAAAGCCAATACTAGTTGAGCTTTTTAAAAACATCCAATTAATTTTGTATATTACAAAAACTCCACTAATTGAAAAGGGGGTAATATATTCATTTAAAAAAAAAAGGGGGTAATATACTAAAACTCGGATTCTTTTGGGGCATTACCGCGAGGGAGAAATATATAACAAATACAGCAGGAAACCAAGGGGGACACAAAAAGGAGAAGAAACTAGAGTGAGAGAGAGAGCGAGGCAAATCAAGAGCAATCAAGTTTTTGAGGAGAATTTTCATGTCCATCTTGCCGTCCCTGAATCCCGGTTCAACATCGTCGTCTGACTTACCTTCTCAATCTTCTTCTACATCCAACCATGGATTCCTCTATTCTAATTCTCTACCCCAACCCCATCAAATCCCCGATTCTCCTCCCCCGCCCCATCACCTCTCAGGTTTTTCTTCTCCTTCTCTTTCTCTTTCTTACACCGCCACTCGCTCAATTTTTATTTTTCTTCTTTATTTCATGGTTAATATTGAAACCCTAGTTTTTTCTATTTGGTTATCACTGATTTTCTTATTCTAATCAAATTCACATATACTCTTACTTTAACCTAAAAATTTTGAATTTGTGGGAAGAAAGATTTCCTTATCATGTTCCTCACATTTTTCAGTTTGTTTGTTTCCCTTGGAAGCTGTAAACTAGTATAAATATGACTAGCTTGTTTGAATTTCTTATTGACTTGGGATTTTGTACAGACTTTGATCCATACAAGTTCAAACTAAACTTGGTTGCTTCTTTTGTTTTGACCCCCTTATACTGATTAGCTTCATAAACTAACCAACGGAAACTGATATCAAGCTTATTAGTTTACCGTTTTGCATTTTCCATTTCAGGTCAAGTGGCTCCCGCTGCACACACTTCTGTTGGATCTTCCGAACAGGTATTTTATGTTGTTTACTTCGCTTAAAATAACTTTAGGAGAGAGAAGCTTCATTTTCACTCATATATATATATATAAATATATCTCACACTTAATTTGGTTACGTGTATTCTCTTTTATCTCCCTATAATATAGGTGAAGGGGCGGGAGAGGCAGAACCATGGAAAAGGTCCTATTCATCCAAATCGTGGCAAAACGCTGCATCCAGAAGATGCTTCTCATGTGCAGATTGGATCTTCTGATTGGCGCAGTCATCAGGGTGCTGTATCTTCTAGCCCCCGAACGAGCTCTGGACATTCTTCGGCTGGAAAAAAAGCTCAGATGTTTAACGGGAACCACTTGTTAAATTTTCAATATGATCCTCTTCCTGTTTCTCGTCCACAGTCCAGGACACCTCCACCACGAAGACAACAAAAGAGAAAACCTTATAACAAGGACTTATTTCTTCAAGCAAACTACCGATTTGTAGTGCTAGACTCTGGGAATTATGCGGCTGAGTCTATGGATCCTGATAAGATGTTATGTTGGGAGAACATTATTTGTTTGAAGTATTCCACTCCTTCTCATGTCCAGTGCCCCATATGCTTGGATGACCCCTTATGTCCCCAAATAACCTCATGCGGTCATATCTTCTGTTTCCCATGCATTTTGCAATACTTTTCCATGGATGAAGATCATCTTAAAGACGAGTGCTGGAAAAAGTGTCCATTGTGCTTCACAATGATTTCTTCAAAGGATTTGTACACCGTTCGTATCGAGAATGTCAAGCAGTACCATGTTGGCGATGAAATCGAATTTGTGCTACTGACCCGCCAAAAGGGTTCATTTAGCTCTTCTCTTAAAAACAGTGGAAGTGTTGATATTGAGGAGGATATTCTGCGCTCCTTCTCAAAGTTCACCTTGACTTCGGATGTAGAACTGTCTGTCAGAGAAGCAATGTCAGATCTAGATAGTTGGATAGCCAGAGCCGACTCAGGCCTAGTTGACGACATTGAAAAACTTCCATATGTTTGTGCCGCAATGAAACATTTGGAGCAAAGGAAAAAATATTGGAATAAGTTTCGTATTTCTAGGGGCGATAAGGCAAGTGCAAGTTTTGATGGAACTCCACCATCTGCAATTGCGGAAGCGAATTATAGTGCAAATGGATTTGTGCAAGGAGCAATCTCTAGGAATAAGAGTGATAAGTCAGGTTCGTTTGTAAAATCATCTATAAGTAAAGTGGCTGGTGAGTTATGTACACCTCAAGTTGCAGGGTTCAGTGAATCATTACAAGATCACGATAGATCACCAAATTCTTCACAGACTCTCTCTAATGGCATCAAAGAGAGGAAAGATGGGGATGCATACAATTTCTACCAGGTACCTATATAATATCTTTGTTTCTTGTCTTACCTTGAGATCTGTGAAAAACTAAATCTAAATATGACCATCTATAAATCTCAATGAAATCCCTCGTTTTTGCCCTTTCCAGGAATTTTCTTCATTAGAAATCTGAATATCAGAATATGTCATTTTTATGTTCATCTTTATTCATTTCATTATTCTAGGCTGTTGATGGTCAGCACATCATACTTCATCCACTAAGCATGAGGTGTGTTCTACACCATTATGGTAGCTATGAAGGGCTTCCTAACAGGTATGAGACAAGTTACATTCTTCCGCTTCTTGTCTGAGTTTTTCTATGCAAAAACAAGTCAAATAGAATCTCTATCTACTCAATATTATTCTTGTTAGACGTTGAGAAAGGTAATAGGCATCTGCACGCTCACGATGTTATATAATATTCATTTCGGTATAATATGTATTGGGGTTCTTGTCTAAGTCTATAAAATGTTCTGGAGAAGATTTTGCTTGTGGAAATTGCAGAAATACAAGAAAAGTATACACGTCTGTATCATTCTACCAACTCATGATTAATCTACTACTTACATAAGAACTAATAAGTTCTGCATCAGCATGTTTGGTGATTATGATTCATAATAAGGAAATGTTTCTGAAATTTAAAGGTTTATGTAGAGTCATATATGCTTAAAGTCTTAAACCAGTCAAAGAAAAATGAATGTTTGTCTATCGCACTATGAATTGACAAGAACAAAATTCTCAGAATCACTGGAAAGATCTTACAGTTGGAGACAGTGACACAATCGGAAGCCATTAGGCGGCGCTATCGATTTTTAAGCCATTTCTCCTTGACAACAACATTTCAGGTGATTACTAGTAAGATTTACTTACAGGGTACCTTTGGTAGACGAGAGAAGCCTTTTTTTATTTTATTATATCTTTCGATTTTTCTTTTTGATCTTTTCATCTCCTGGCTTAGGAGCTTATTTTCAATAGATAATCATGTTCAAGCTTCAGTCATTTATATGTGCTTTTACAGCTTTGTGAAATCAACCTGGCTGATACATTACCCGCTGAATCGACTTCTCCCTTTATGGATGAAATCAAGAATAGAGAAAAGCAAAGAAAACAACTCGCTAAGAAGGTATGACCTTCATACTTCACATCTAACTAATTTCAGTTGGTTGGAAAATGTGCTTAATTATTTATGACACAGTTGCCTTGTCTTCCAGTAAGTTGGTTTTAACCTTAACATCTCCTCTTTTGAAATTTAATGTGGAAATTTTTGGTGGTTTGAAGTTATGTTTGCTGAGTGGCAGTTAGGCAAAGCTGTAATCAGATTAACTAATCATGCTACCTGATTTTGAACTCAGTTGATGCTTTTCACACTAATTACGTTTTAAGGAACTAGCATATCCAGTAGCCACTTGATTTATATCGTTTGCTAAATTTTTTTGTGTATTTGATGGATGCTTAAACTAAAAATGAAGTGACCTTTTTATGGACAATGCTTAGCAGTAGAGGATTTGTATTGCCAGAAAAAAATTGCTTAATAATGTCCAGTAATTTGTTTCACATGGTTTTTTTGCCCCAAGTTGGCTTTACTTACGTTTTTTTTGTTGATATTATTATGCTTCTGTTAGGAGTTTCTGCGATGTAACGTTATGTTTTGTATAGGAACTCAAGGACAAAATTAAAGCTGAAGCCGAGAGCAGTCAGTTTGTGCATGTACCATATTACTCGTATGAAGACACTCCCAGCTTTTCCATGGATGACTTTGAAGGTATTTTTTTGTTTGTTCGTTTATAATATGAGCAAAAAACTTGCCATATAGAGATCTATCTAGCTTGATAACCAATATATAATTTTGTAAGATTCAGTTTAAATTGGTGGTATTTTTATTTTTATGTTTTATTACTCTAATGATCTTTTGCTTTTTCATTTTAATCAATGGTTTTCAAATTTAGTATTGGTGGTAGGGTTCTCCTAGATCTTATTCACTGAATGGTAAACTATGGAGTCCTAATCACAGTTAATTTCATTATTTAACCTGAACCATGAACTTGTTGAAAATATTACGGAGTAGCAATTATAGCAAAATTGTGGCACTTGACATTTGCAATTTATATCACATATGGTTCCGTTTTTGGTCCACATAATCGTGAACTCATTGCTTTTGTTTACTGCGGTTAGCCTTGGGAACTTCTGCTGTGGCATCATCATCATCATCAAGGCCTCTCACCATTGGGGAAAAGCACTCTTTTTCAAATGTTGCAAGGCTTGGTTTTGCTGCTGCTCATGATTCTCCTTCTCTCAAATTTGACGAAATCCAAACGGCCCTAGAGATGGATAAGCCTGATGAATCTTCTAGCACAATTGGTAGACCAGCTTTTTTCTACTTATCAGTATATATATATTGAAATGTGTAAATTTGTATATGGCAAGACTGACTCTTGTTCATTCGTCTTAGGTTCGAGAAACGTTGGGGGTGCCTCATTTGCCAATATAACATCTAGAGCCAAAAAAGTGGAAGTCCCGCCGCAAATTCCTAGCAAGGGGAATGAAGTGGTGAAGAAGGGGAAAAAGGCAACCCGAATTCTCATGTCCACAGCAGGTGGAAGGCGCTATTGAAGAAACTTGTGTGTCTGTGTCTTTGTACTTTGAAGAATTTAAATTTGTCTAGCAAATCCCTAATGTGTATTAACAACATGCTTGTTGTTATTAGGACTTGTGCTTTTGTTCGGTGATATGAAATAATTGCTGTTTGGATATCTTATAATATCTGACTAAAATATGAACAAGTTATACAAAAGCCGTAATTGTGAAAATCAATCAATCAATCAGTGTGTTTAATATTTATTATTCCTGGATTAAATATCAATAAATAGCCCACACCAACAGAAATCTGGAAATCATGGTTACAAGGATCCAAATCAAATTAACCTTGGATGGATGGGCATCTCTCTTGGCAGCAACAATAAGTATTAATAACAGGGGATTACAGAAAACATGGAGGTTGCGCAAACACATTTAGTTAATACATGATAATCAAAGAGCATTACTAATACAACAAAGTGGGTCCTTTTTCAACCTGCAACTTCATTCATGGTCTAATTGCATCTCTGAAAAATAGAATTATAGAAACCAATTGAACGCCTCCCAATAATCCATCTGCTATACTCGTTTCAAATAATCCAAGCGAGTCCAGATTAATCTCCACGTACGAGAAGCCCGTGTCTGAAATCCCTTGTTATTATTCATTCCACATTTAGCTCCCACAAACCTTGACCACAATGATTTGCAAAGCAAAGCTTGCCAAGCCAGTTTTCCAATTAAACAGTCTCATTTCATAAAGAGATCTGATTCTCTGTAGGGAAGGCAAACCTTTTTCCAACTTACCTTAGTGTATTCGTTTTCTAAAATGTCAAGCCTAAAGAAAAGCCTCGGTAATTCTTTCTACTCGTTTAATTATAGCTACAAGCCAATGTACAAATAGCTATACAGAGATTTGATAAGTGTTATCTTTACAAACGGGATGACTGAAATGAGTTCACAAATGTAAGAAAATTCATGAGAGGGGCTAAATCGACCAACTCATTTTAGTTCACCAGATGAAATGGACAATTGCATCATCACTGATATAAATAATACTTGTTCTTAAATGGATTTCCTCCCTACCATTCTGCTCCAGACTCCCTCACATCATTAGGTAGGGCTAAAATTTTAATAAGAATTTGAGAGGATGGTACCGCCTTACATACAGAAACCACACATCAACCAATTCCCCTTCCCCTTACAATTTGTATATCTCCTTCCACATTTCTCAATCTATCGTGTTCTTCCTATCTACAACAATATATACATTCTTCTCCTTGTAAAACCATATACATACCGAACAAGGAAACAGACTATAAATTAGTAAATATCACTATAACCATCGCATACATCACATACTTAAAACAAATGCAGATATTGATCATCAATAATGGGACAATGCAAGAGAATAATAACCACATCAAAATAATAAATGGTAAGGCGGTAGGTGCAAAACTCCATTGCCCCGAATCAATGAAATTCATACGCAAAAAAATGTTCAACATCAATCAATCTGAGGGATTCATTCATAATGACTTTACTTTGATATCCGAGCAAGCTCAATTTTCTTTCCCGCTACATTCACATATCAGATACAATAGTCCCATACAGCAAGTAATAATTCAGAGCAGCTGAGTAAATAAGGAAGCCAAGAGCAGAGATACCTAACAAACAAGAAAGATAGCTAGGCCTGAGTGCCAGCCATAGCCTTCAATTGAATGTGATTAGAATCAACAGTGGCGGCGGTGGTGGAAGCAGTATTGGGCAAGGCTTCATAGGAACCGAATCTGCTGCGGATACCCAGAGTCTTGGCAAGAGCAATGTACAGCACCAAGAAGATAAGGAGCACAAAAAGGACGTGTAGGACAAATATGAGATCCAGGATGGCCTCTGCCCTGAGCTTGGAGTCTTCCAAATCGCACTTTGTGGATCCCTCAACACCGGTTACCACGTCCAACAGCTTGTGGCAGCCCTCTGGGATGAAGGCATCGACATAGAGGGATAGACCAGTCTGCATAGCCCATAGTCCCTGCAAGCAGAATGAGGCACCTAGTGCCACATCAGCCACGAACAGCCTGGGACAGCAAGCTAGTGCAAGGCATAAGACGGAGGAGAGGGCCGAGATGCAGGCGGAGATGGAGTCGCACTTGGCTTGGAGATCGGAGGTCTGGACGGCGGCGGAGGAGGAGGAGAGGGAGTATTGTAGGAAAAAGAGGGAGGATGCTAGGGCGAAGAAAAGATCGTGGGGTAGAGGGAGAAGGGAGGTGGCATCGGATAGGAGGAGGGCGACGGAGAGGAGGAGGAATGAGAAGAGTATGGCGGCGGACTGGAGAGAGGTAAAGAGATGGACAGGTGTGCGACCTTTGAGAAGGGGATCGGCGTAGGAGGAGACGATGAGCTGGTGTATGAAGGCGATGAAGAGGCAGATGAGGATGAGATACAGCTGCAAATGGCGGAGGAAGCGGTGGCTGCTGTTAGGAGGGAATGGATGATAGGGTTTGGCCACATAATCGCGGGGAGATTTGAGCTGGTTCTTGGTTGTGCAGATAAGGTGGTAAATACCCTGCGACAACATCGCCGACGATGAGAATATCTGGTAAATTAGGGCTGCCATTTTGATTCTCTGATTTATTGAGAGTTGAAATTTTAAGTTATATTCAATTAATCAAACAACAACAACAACAACAATGGCGGAAGGCGTCCTGCGAATTCAATTGTTTGAGAGTTGAAAATGGTGTAGGGTTTTTCTTTGGGTACTTTTTCTTATATTAAGTAGAATGAATTTGGAGATTATGCCACATCGGAAGAATAAACAAAATCCACTAAAATACAATTTATAAATGGGGTCATTTCAGGAAAAAAAATTAGAAACCATAGATGAACTATTACCATAGATTAGTAATGAATTAACTAACATCTTCTTTGAAAAAATATTACAATTTTAAATTAAAATTTCAGCTATTTTAGTAATAGATGCGAGATACAGTATACGATTTTTTGTTATTTTGCTCGACTATTTAAAAATTAGTGAAACACCATTTAGATGAACTATTTCTTGACAAATTATGAATTAACATCTTATATGCTATATATTTGAGTGGCTAGTAAAATTACTAAAAAATATATGACTATTTTTACAAAAATATGCTTGCTCGGCTAGTAAACAATTAGTGAAACAAAATTTAGGAGATATATTTCTTGAGTATTTGTGAAATAGCATCTTTATTGCCATATATTCGAGTGTTAAAAACTATTAAAAAATACACAAACATTTCAGCTCTTTTTAGCAACAAAACTGAGTTACATTGTATACGATTTTGATGATTTTGCTCAGACTTGTCAAAAAATAGTAAAACCAAATTTAGATAAATAATGTCTTGCCTAGTTATGAATTAACATCTTCATTTCTTTATATTTGAGTATTCAAAATTATTAGAAAAAAAATATGACCATTTCAGCTATTTTTAGCTAAAAATGTGAGCTACAATATACGATTTTTTATGACTTTACTCGACTAGTCAAAAGCTGGTGAAATTAAATTTAGATGAACTATTTTATAACTACTTATGAATTAACATCTTACTTGCTATTTATTTGAGTGTTCAAAACTATTAAACAAATATATGAACATTTCAGATATTTTTGGCATAGAACATGACAATATTATACAATTTTGGGTAAATTATACTTACACTCCTGAGGTATGCTTAAATAATTTTAAGGTCCTTACGGTATCGATATTTACACTCACCCCCTTGAAACATAGTTAGAAACTCTAACGGGATAATGCATTGGATACATTATTCCGACAGAGTTCTAATAGACTATTACTTTTAGCTAGTGGTGGAGATAATATAGAGTTATGGGGTGACATGGCTCCCCCAATATAATATCCCTATTTCTTAAATCACCAATAACTCTTTGTTGTCTCCACCACTTACTGAAACCAATAGTCTGTTAGAACTCTATCGTAATAACGTATCCAATGCATTATCCCATTAGAGTTTATAACTACGTTTCAAGGGGATGAGTGTAATTATCGATACCACAGGGACCTTAGAGTTATTTAAGCATACATCAGGGGTGTGGGTGTAATTTACCCTACAATTTTTTTGTAAATTTGCTTGACTAGTACACAGTTTTTGAGTAAAATTGGTAAAACGCCAAAAAACCATTTCACGATCCAAATGAGCAAAAAAAATATATACAATAGTACATAGATTTTAGTTAAAATTGGTGTACACAGATTTGGAATAAAATTGGTGGAACGTCCAAAAAACTATTTCGCGTTCAAAATCAACTGTACACTATAGCACACATATTTTGGGTAAAATTGGTGGAACGTCCAAAATTTTTTTTCACAATCAAAATCACAAAAAACTGTATGCTATAGTACAAAGATTTTAGTTAAAATTGGACGTGCAACGTCCAAAAAAACTATTTCACAATCAAAATCACCAAAAACTGGATACTATAGTACACAAATTTTAGTTAAAATTCATAGAACGTCCAAAAAATAATTTCACGATCAAAATCACAAAAAACTGTATGCTATAGAACACAATTTTTTTGATAAAATTGGAGGATAGTTCCAAAAAACCTTTTCACGATCAAAATCACAAAAAACTGTATACTATACAGTACACAAATTTTGGGTAAATTGGTGGAACGTCCAAAAAAAAATTTTCACAATCAAAATCACAAAAAACAGTATATACTATAGTACACAAATTTTACTTAAAATTAGTGCAACGTCCAAAAAACTATTTCACGATAAAAATCACCAAAAAGCTGTATACTGTAGTACACAAATTTTAGTTAAAATTGGTGGAACGTCCAAAAAAATATTTCACGATCAAAATAACAAAAAACAGGTACCATAATAAGTACACGAATTTTGGATAAAACTGGCGGAACGTCCAAAAAACTATTTAACCATCAAAATCACAAAAAACTGATTCCAATTTTATCAGTTTACCTATACATGGACCATGCTTAGTTCTATCAAGATCTAGATCTCCCTCTTCAGAGGCTTCACAGGACAGTCTATGGTCCGTTTTCCTTTCGACCTTATATGGATCCCCTATTATCCTATTCAAGGGCAATGAGAAAATAAAAAAAAGGCTCAGTCTTGGGAAAGGTCTTCTTGGCCTGATAGATATAATGTTTAAGCCCTCTTAGACTTTGCTTAAAGAGGCGGGTCTATTCTATACTATAAGGATGTCTTACTTTCTTCCTAAAGTAGCTTCCTACTACGACTCAGACGGAGGAAGAAGGATTTCGAGGGGTAGGCTTTCCTGTCCTCCTTTACACGGGGCTCTCTCCCCAAGCAAAGAGAAATGCGGTGCCGGTTGTGATCACACGCTGGGCACAAATCCGAGAATCTTATGCTTAAGCTTAAACGGGGTAAACGTAGCTATTCGGCACATTAGGGAGAAGGTCTCATCTGAGGAAGGCGAATCATAGGATAACTCTATTTTATAGGGACTAACGGCCCCCTCTTATAATAGCCAAACCTATTATCCTTCTCTCTCATTCTCTCGGGATTCTACATGACACCAACTGCTATGAATATCTCTATTTCAAGGCGAATACCTTTTTCTAGGGTTAGTGTGGCTAGATATTGTTAGAGTAGGTGACCAACAAGCCAACTTGTGGCTGTGGTCTTTTGTATTTATTATGGTAATAAACGAACCTTTATTCGTATTAATGATAAAACAACTTGGCATTCTATATCTTTGTCCCTTTGTCACAAGCATAGATATAGTCCTTACAGTTATTACAAGTACTAGTAATTGATCGTTAGGATCGTGAGATATTTACTTAAGTATTATAAGTGTTAAACGTGTTCATAGTCGAAGGGTTACGCCACCAATGAGGATATCGGCCTTTCCCATTAAGAGACTAGCACTTAGTGTATGTGTACTGCATCTCATCAGTAATCGGTATTGTGATATCGGCATGCATAAGTGGGTGCTCGTAAGTTGACGAGTTCACTGAACTCCCTCACCCTAGAAATCTCTAAGTGGTTCCCAATAATCGAGTAGAGATATCTATGGTATAGTTGTACACCATTAGTCCTCATGACCTAGACATCACCGTGACTTCACTAGAGGACCAGCTGTATCGTGACCTATCCCTGAGTTCCACCGAGGACCATCCCAAGGGCCAGTGTTCGTGCAGTCCGAAATGTAGTGGGAGGTCTGTGCATTGTAGTCAGGGATTCGATTGCTAGAATAGTCTTGGATGTCCTGTGTGTTCTGAAAGTTTGTAATCATTTTAAGTCTCTGGCCAGAGCTGACTAAGTGATGATTAGAGAATTCGATTCTCTAAGTCATGCACGTAAAGATTACAATACTTAGAACGATCGCACCGTCATTGAACAAATAAAGAGGTCTCGACGAACCAATGCCTCTAGTTCAATCGGGACATATGAATCGAAGGAACCGTACTGTACGTTAACTATATCTGAAGGTTCTTGCAGACACTTCATTTGTATCTAGGGAATCATGACGCGCAGTTGCTAGACGCCAATCTTGATTCATTGGGTGATTAAGGTGAAACGAGCTTCATCTTAATCGTAACTCTAAGGGTCGAGTTTTGACCACAAAGGGTTGTGGGCCCACGGATAGCTTACACTTGAACCATCGAGGGTCACACTGCTCGTGCACATGAGATCTTTGAATAAACGGTCAGAGATAAAATGGTTTATCTTTGCATGATTGGAAGTCAATATGATTGGGTCCAACATTCGTAATTTGGAATTATGAATGAGAATAAGAAAAGGAAAAGAATAGGCAAACATATTAGTGAACTTTCTAAATTGGGAAGTTTCCAAATTTAGAAAGTGCACTGAATTAGGGTTTCCACTTTTGGAAAGTTGGAAATCGAGAGTTGGCTCTCGTAATGACGAGGAGATTATAATTATTCTGAAAATGTAATCGTTACAATTTTCCGATCATTGAAATGAGAGAGACGAGCAAGTAAAAGAACTAACAAACTTAAGCTGTTGGGCCTGGTCCAACTTAAGCCCGCTAGGGTTTTATGCAAGACACTATAAATACTTGATTTATAGGTCTTGCACACACACAACACAAAACCCTAACCCTAGCCGCTCTCTCTCTCTCTCTCTCTCTCTCTCTCTCTCTCTCTCTCTCTCTCTCTCTCTCTCTCTCTCTCTCTCGCTCGGCCACCTCCCCGCGGCCACCGCGCCGTCATCGCCGGAAATTGCTGGAATCGGCCATCCGTTGGCCGATCCCTTTCGGTATTCCTTTCCTTCTTTCTTTTTCTTCCGTTTTTCTAACTATTACGTGTCTAGTGCCACGTGTTTAGTAGATCGAAGTATACGAGGTGAAATCCGAGAGGTGGAAGATCGAAGATCGAAGAATCGAGGAGTAGCACACGAGCCGAAGCCGCATGCATCCCCACGCGCCGCCCGAAGACCGCGCGTGAGTCACACGCGCTGCCGTGGCTCGTATTGCCGCCGGTGCTGTTCCGCCGCTGCTGCCTCCCCCCGGATTGTACGGATAGGTTTCCGTAGCAATCCCGCTTTGCTTGGTGCGCCTACCTCACGCTTCAAGAGGTAAACTTTCGAATCAATTGTCGATAGATTCGTTTAAGTTTAAATTGGATATGCATGTTCATTATTGTATGATTTTATGTGATTACATGAAATCGTTTTATTTATTGCGAGCATGTTATTTGATTTAAACGCGAGCGTGCTAGTTGATTTAATTTTGATTAACTAATTAAGCATGTCTGTTGTTTTTAATGTCGTTGGAAGCGCAAAGGTACGCAATTAATTGATTTCAATTATCGGGCATGTGTTTATGT